TAAGTGGAGCTTTGGAAACGGAGGTGAATAAGACGTGAGTGGCAGGCAAAAGCCGCAGGCAAATGTGTGTCCCTTTCCGCCTGGCCGAAGTGCCTCGGACCCAAAGGTGCTTCTCGACCTTCAACCAAGGAGCGTCCGAGGTTTACCCAACCTGCCCACTAAGGCTGCAGTCCCTAAGAGTGCCGGCGTCTCAGCTTCTCCGCGTCTCGCAAAACAGGAAGAGATTTCTTGATCAAGGAGGCAATATTGTCTTAACCTCTGCCGTCCGGTGTTGTGGACCTCTTTCAAAAGGTGGCCACTGACGTTTCAGACCCTGATCACGTTTCATCAATAGAGCTAACCGAATAACAGAGTCAGAAGGGACCTCGGACGTCATCTAGTCCAACCCTCTGCTCAGGCAGGAAAAACCCTGTGCCATTTCGGATGAATGGCTGTCCAATCTGGGAGGGAGGGAGGGAGGGAGGGAGGGAGGAAGGAAGGATAACAGAGTCGGAAGGGACCTCAGAGGTCCTCTAGTCCAACCCCCTGCTTAGGTAGGAAAAACCCTGTGCCATTTTGGATGAATGGCTGTCCAATCTGGGAGGGAGAGAGGGAAGGAAGGAGGGAAGGAAGAAAGGAAGGAGGGAGGGAGGGAAGGAAGGAAAGAAGAATAGCAGAATAAAAAAGTCAGAAGGGACCTTAGAGGTCTTCTAGTCCAACCCCCTGCTCAAGCAGGAAAAACCCTGTGCCATTTCAGACGAATGGCTGTCCAATCTGGGAGGGAGGGAGGGAGGGAGGGAGGGAGGGAGGGAGGAAGGAAGGAAGGAAGGAAGGAAGGAAGGAAGGAAGGAAGGAAGGAAGGAAGGAAGGAAGGAAGGAAGGCAGAGCAGCAGAATAACAGTGCTGGAAGAGACCTTGGAGAATAAAATTCCGATATTCCAGGTTTTTAAAGCTCCTTTGGGAAGCTCACCTGCCGGAAGGACTCTTCTTCAGCATCGTCCAGCGTGGTGTCCTCCTCAAAGTCGATGACCCGGTCGTACATCTGGATGTTGTACTCCTCCCAAGAGACCCGCCCGTCGCCATCTTTGTCGTAGTGCTGGAACTGTTGCTTGGCGTCTTCGATGATGTAACTCTTGAAGGAATGCTGGATCCAGGAACTCAGCTCGGCTGCGGAGACGTCCCGTGACCCCGTTAGCTCGATGAACGGACCCCTCCCTGCTGGGTGACCTTTGACCCCTTGGCAAAGGACACCCCCCTCAGAATGGATGGGGGTCTGCAAGCTTTCCCCCTTTTTCTAAGAGGTGTTGCAGGATGGAGTCCCAAGTTGCCACGGCCAACGCACCGTGGCAGAAGAATCACACTAATATCGAAAGAACAGGAGTCATTCAAGAAAGGATGCCGAAGGAGGGACAACATAGGATGCGAATAACAAAAAAATTCAAATTATTTTCTGAATTACTTAAAATGATAGAATTGAATTGTCCCGCAGCAAGCTGTCCCGATGTGAGTTTTCTGTAGTGCAGGGGTCTTGAAACTTGGCCCTTTGATGACTTGTGGACTTCAACTCCCAGAATTCCTCAGCCAGGCACGCGTGCCTGGCTGAGGAATTCTGGGAGTTGAAGTCCACAAGTCATCAAAGGGCCAAGTTTCAAGACCCCTGCTGTAGTGAGTCGGGCCGTGGGGAATTGACAGTGATGAGTTCAGCAGAATCGGCCCAAGCCCCCCCCCTCGGCCTGCAACCACCAGGTGCGTAGAAAAGGGGCGGGGCTTCCAATACCATGTTGCTTCCTGACCAGCATCCTGAATTCTGTGCTTCCCGCCAGCCATGTTTGTTTATTTCAGTGGTTCTCAACCTGTGGGTCGGGATCCCATTTGGGGTCGAATGACCATTTCACAGGGGTCACCAAACAACACAGTCCGCCATTTCCCCCCCCCCCTTTTCCTTAGCTGTGCTCTTCCCTTTTATTCTATTGGCTTTTGAAAGCCAATAGAATAGACTCTCTTGAATAGTCTAATTCTATTGGCTTTAAAAAGCCAATAGGAATTGTCCAGGCTGTCTCTGCCCTGCTGAGCCCGCCAAAAGTCCCATTCTGCCGACGGTGCTGCACCAGTTGAGTAGTCCTCGACTTACGACCGGTTGAGTAGTCCTCGACTTACGACCGGTTGGGGGGTCACAGCATTAAAAAGGTTGAGAACCACTGGTTTATTTTTTTTATTATTTATTTATATCCCACCCTGGTTATTTTTACCATTAGCTCAAGGTGGCGAATCTATCCCACACACTTTCTCCCCCCCCCATTTTTCTTGCAACGACAACCCTGTCAGGTGGGTCGGGCTGGCCCAAAGTCACCCAGCCACCTTTTGTGCCTAAGGCAGGACTAGAACCCACCATCTCCCAGTTTCTTGCCCGCTGCCTCCACCACTGGACCAAACTGGCTCTTGACAATTGACAATTGACATCACTACAGGTAGTCCTCGTGAATTACCGTTATGAAGCCCAGATTTATGCGGTTGTGAAGCGGGTCATCGTGCGACCTTTTCTTGGTGGTGGTCGTGAAATGAATCCGTTATACTCAATTGGCGTTTTTTGCCGGAAACCCAGAAGTAAATGCTGGAAACCGACAAAACCACCCAGAACTAACCAGGGTGATGAATTGTGCCAGGGCCACATTCACACGACGCCCAGCCAGAGACATCGGCCAGAAGCTGGGCTTAGCAAGAGGGTCATCATCAGAGGTACCTTCGGTGAGAAAGCCGTCCAGATCCACGTCGATCCTACTTATGATCACTTTGAGCCGTTTCTGTTGCTCCTCCGGGCTGAGTTTGGAAAATTCTTCCACTTCATCCTTTTTTTGGGGGGTGGGAGCAAAAACAGCATTAAAATGAGTCCTAACTTGGGGAGAACTTTCTCTCCCTCTTTTACTTTCTCTCTCCTCCTCTCTCTCTTTTTTCTTTCTCTCCCTCTCTTTCCTTCTGTCTCTCCCTTTTTGTTTCTCTCTTCCTCTTTCCATCTCCCCGTTTTTCTTTTTCTCTTCCTCTCTCCCCCTTTTTTTCTCTTTCTCTCTTTCTGTCTGTTTCTCCCTCCCTTTTTCTTTCTTTCTCATTCTCTCTCCCTCTTTTTCTCTTCTTTCTCTCTTCCTGTCTCTCTTTGTTTCTCCCTCTCTTTTTCTCTCTTCCTCTCTTTTTCTCTTTCTCTCTCTCCAGCTCTCTGTCCACTCCCTTTTTTAGCAGGAAAGCCGGACTGTGACCCCTCCCCACCACTATTGGGTATGTCCTTCCCCCCCCCCCCGCAAAAAGACCACAAGAAGCCCAGTTGAACTTAGGGGTCCCCCTAGCCCTAATATGCAGTGGCTTTTGGCAGCCCCCCCCCCAGCCCAAATGCAGATTGAGCTGGCTCAAGGGGAGTTTCACATGGGGGGGGGAGGAAGAATCCCACTCCCTCCCGGGGTCTTTCCTTTCTGCCACCCCCCTCCCCCGGCTCCTTGCGCCCCTCTCCTCTTCCCCCTCCCAGCTGGGCATGCCGAGGCGTCCCCCCCCCTCCCCGGCGGTGGAGGATGGGTCCGGGTGTCCCTGCTCCCCTCCCCCTCGCACCTGGCCGCCCAGCAGCGCCTCCTTGTCGTAGTCGGGCCGGTGCTCGCCCAGGCTGGTCCCGGGGCCGCCCAGCAGCAACAGCAGCAGCCCGAGCAGCGTCGGGGACTCCATGGCTGCAGCCGGGCAGGCCGCAGCGGAGGAGGCAGGGAGGCCGGGAAGGAGGAAGGCGGGCGCAGAGCCGGGTCGGCCGTTCGCCCAGTCTCCTCCCCGAACCGTCCGGCGGCTCCGCGCGACATGCCCCGCTTCGCCCGTTGCAACGCCCGGCCGCGCGGGGGCTCTGCGGAGGGAGGTCCTGGGGGGGCTCGGGCAGGGGATGCCCCCGCCCTGTAGGGAGGGGGGTGCCGGAGCCTTGGAAGCGCCCCCCACCCACCTCCAGCGCCGGGGGTGCTTTGCATCCCGGTGGGTGAGCGGGTTCCAGAGTCTCGGGGGAATTGCAGTTGCAAACAGGAGCGACTGCAAGTAAAATGAGCCCCCCCCCCAAGTAGAGGGTGCAGGAGCCTTGGCAGCGTCCCCCACCCCCTCGCCTTGAGTGCCCTGCATCCCGGGGGGTGGGTGGGTTTTCTTGGGGTCCCTCCTGGTGGTCCTGGGAGACTCCTGCACCCCCTGCACTGAGGGGGGGGTCTGGTCCTCCCTTCTTGCAATCGCCCCTTTTTGCAAGGAGCAGGTTCCGGGTGCAGGTCCAGCCCAATTATACTGAATTGGATTTCAGCCTGTTTTTTCTCCCAACCTTGGCCACTTAAAATGTGCAGGCCAACTCCCAGGATTCCTCAGTGAGTATGCGCGGGCTGGGGAATTCTGGGAGTTGGAGTCCACCGATCTCAAAGTTGTTCAGAACCCCTGTTTCAAAGCACCTTTCTTTCTCCAGACCAGCGCTGCGTCCATTGGGCCGAATTTTAATTTCCGATCAAACTCATCAAGCAGAGATGACTTGGAGGGGGGAAGGGGTCTTGTGGAAATTTTGGATTACCGTTCCCATAATCCCCAGCTATTGACTATGCTGATTGGGGCTGATGGGGAATAAAGTCCAAAACCCTTGACCAGGGGTGGGCAACCTTGGCTCTTTTATGACTCATGGACTTCAACTCCCAGAATTCCTGAGCCAGCATGGCTCAGCTTGGAAACCTCCCTTTCCCCTCAGCGTGGCTGGCTCAGGAATTCTAGGAGTTGAAGTCCACCAGTCATAAAAGAGCCAAGGTCGCCTACCCCTGCCCTTGACGGACAGACTCCCACTTGACCCTCTCCAGCCTTTCTGGCTTCTCAATCCCCCGAGAAGGGCACAACTAAGGGCAGGCGGCGGCTTCAGCAACCGCCACTGAGCATCCTCGGGAGAGGCGGCGCAGGCGCAGGCGCGGCTTGGCGCCAGGGAGGGCAGCCCTCAGGGCCGTCGGCTTCGGTAGGCGCTCCCGAGCACGCGCGGAAGCTAACCGCGCATACTCAGTCGCGTAAGCTTTTTCCCAGCCGGGCCACCGCCTCCTCCGAGAGGTTTTTTTTTTCGTCGCGGTACCGGCTACCGGCGGCGCGAGATGACGTCACAGCGGCGGGACGCACGCAGGCGGAACGGCGCTGCGCGGCGGCGAGTGTAAGTCGGGCGGCGGCGGCGGGCCCGGCCGGCAAGATGGCGGCTGCCCTTCCACCCGCCTCTCCAGGGCAACCAAGCCGGGCCTCCTCCTCCTCCTCCGCCCGCCTCAGACTCCCTCTCCCCCCCCCTCTCGCTCGCAGCCCCGGCCTGTCCCCCCCCATGGCTCCGTTCGCACGACCCTGTACACGCGTGTCCGCCTGCACGTGTGAAGGGGTCCAAATGGGTGCCAGGATGCCCCCACTGAGGCAGGCCCAAATGGGGTCCCTCGGGGGTCGAGGAGGATGTGTAAGGCGCCCTGGTCGCTTGGATCGACTCCTTTCCTATTCGTCCCTTGCCATAAAGCGGCCCGAGTCTGCAGGGTGGGAGGGAGGGGAGGGTCTACCTGTAATTTCCTGTGCTACCTTTCACAATGACTGTGGAGATTCTCCGTCCTCCAGGTCATGGTTGCCCCAAAGGTGCTTTTTCAGGAGGCAGCTGGACTTGTTCTTTGAAGACGTTTCGCTTCTCCTCCAAGAGCTTCTTCAGCTCTGACTGGCTGGTGGGGAATGGAGCTGTCCGAGCTGTAGAAGCTTCTTGGAGGAGAAGCGAAACATCTTCAAAGAAGAACAAGAAAGCACCTTTGGGACTTTCACAATGACGTTTCCTCCTAAAGCGGAATCGAAGGCAAGTTTTGAGCAATTAAAAATTGTGGGGATATCGGGAGCAGGAGCCAGCTGACCAGGGAATACTATAAACCTTCAGAAGTGGTGATCTTTTAAGCATTGGTCAAGTGTGGTAAGCCTGGAACGTCAACGGCTTGAGGTCCGGTTGATGAGTCCCGATGGCCAAAACGCCCCTTTGCTCAAGGAATCGTATTTATCCTCCTCCACCCCGAGATGCTGCTTCCCAAACTCCACACGGGACCGGCTCTTCCCCGAGGGAGGTGTGTCTTAACTGCTGAAAGTTTTCATCCTGTGTAATATTTTCTTTTCTTTTCCCCCCAAAGTGGCTGCACAGTTTATCAGGACTAAAAAGTCCCAATAACGGACATAACTTTACCCGTCATGGTACGAAGAGCACTTCTCTTTCTCCTAAAAAAACCCCCGGACATTGGTGTAGCCGCACTCCGAAAGTCTGTCCGCTTCTTGTGGTGGCATCACTGGGGCAGGATCGGCCATCCCGCTGCACGGCGCTCTCCCCCTTTAGCCAGCCTTGCTCTGCCGCCCCCACCCCACCCCACTTTCCGGCTTCTCCCCGGCTCCTTGCATGTTTTTGGTCACAGCTGCAGGTCCCTTTCCCCAGCCTTCTGCCGTCTTCCACAGCTCTCCCACATAATGTCCCTGCATGGCTGTTTCTCTCTATGGCTGTGCCTCACCTGGTAGTTGGGAGAACCTTCTGGGGGGGGGGGCATTCCTAGAAGGTCATCTTGTGTGGCCATTTCTCTTTAAAATCTGCTCTAGGGATCCAGAAGCGTTTTGAAACCTCGATTGACTGGGAAGCCTGCCCTACAAGTACTCCTTGATTGATGACCTCAACGGGGTGCAAAATTTCGCATTCCTAAGTTGCTCAATGAGTTGTGCCCCATTTTACGACCTGTCATGCCACAGTCATTAAGCAAATCTCTGCACAGGTAGTCCTTGACTTACGACCACAGTGGAGCCCCAAATTTCTGTTGCTAAGTGAGACAGTCGTGAGGTGAGTTTTTGCCCCATTTTACGACCTTTCTTGCCACGGTCGTTAAGCGAATCAGCGCCGTTGTTAAACTTAGTAACACGGTTGTGAAGTGAATCCAGCTTCCCCCCCTCCCTTAACTTTGCTTGTTGAAAGGCCGCAAAAGGGGATCACGTAATCCCAGAACCCAGCAACGGTCATAAGTATGAGTCAGTTGCCAAAGCGTCTGAATTTTGATCACATGCCCCTGAGGATGCTGCAACGGTCGTAAGTGTGAAAAACGGTCCTAAGTCACTTTTTTCAGTGCCGTTGTAACTTGGAACGGTCACTAGACGAACGGTTGTAAATTGAGGACTACCTGTACAGGGGTATTTCTCTCATCCGGGGTTTAGTCCTCTTTGACTGAAGGAGAAATTATCAGAAGAAAGCAAGGGATGAAGCACTCTGCGCCCTGAAGACGTTGGTCACTGTTCAGTCCTTGTTCTTCCCGCTCTTGCAAGCTGTTTGGGCCTCCTTTGCGGCCTGCATTTTTTTACGCAAAGGTCTTCTTCCTCCTCCAGTGCAGAGTGTAAACCCCGATAAAAGAGAAAATCCGAAGCTCAGGGTTGAATTGCAGAATCCTTGGTCCTCGGAGAGCTCCAGAGTCTCCACAGACTGTAAACTGAGTTGTGCTGTATACTTTCCTAAGGCCTAAATGTGTTTTTCTAGTGGTGAGGGATCTGGAATGACCTTGCTCAAATGATATGCTTGATGCTTTGCAGTCGTCTTGATGCTAGGCTAAGCCGCTTCCATTCAATTCTTCTTTTTAGCCTAGTCTACACAACCTCTTCATATGCCCTCAAAAGTGGCGATTGCTTGTCCAACGTTCATGTTTTTGGCTCTTAGTCTGTCTGGTTTTAAAAGGCTTGAAGTCTCGTGGCTCTTGAATTTAAGACAATCTTCTCTGACATTGTATCTGATTGGAGGCGAGGTGGAAAAGACATATTTCCAGCAGAGAGAGCTTCTGAGCTAAAGGGAAACAAGAGGGTAGCATTACAACTTGGTTGCCACAGCAGTAGAAACATATTTGCAAGTAAATAAACAAACGTGAATTGGGCGAAGGCAGCATTTGGTTTTGTTTTGGCATCAACAAAAAGCAAAGTTAAGCAAACTTACATTTTGGAAGGTAGAAAGGAAACAGTGGTAACCCCAAACAAATCAGCCACTCATACATAGATTTGTTATTGCAAAGCCTCGTTTTTGTTGCAGTTAAGAGTTTTGAAATTTTTTCTCATACTGATATAGAACAGTTATAGATTGTTGCGTTTTAATAGAGGTTTTTTTTTCACAATGTAAACCAGTATAAATAAAATTCAATCTCAACAATGTACCGGCTTGCTGTATTATATTACTACAAAATTCTGGAATAAACAAACACTGGGTCTAGAATAAGGTAAATTCCGTTTGTAGAATGGAAAATCTGATTGAGGCCTAAAGCCATTGAAATGGCAAAATAAAAGCAAGATTAATACAAATAAAAAGAGGATGATTCCACTCAGAATATCGTTAAGGATATTGTGTACCTGCCACCATCGTAGTAAAGTGCTTTTTCCACGAGTTAAAAATTAAATTCCCCATGTCATTTCTGCACAGAAGTCAAATAATGTACTTAGTGGTAAAAAAGACAGGATATTCACCTCTCCCTACACATTGAAAGTTTTCTTGTAAAATCCTACTCTACTAGAAAGGAAAATATTTTTTTTAAACTCATCTGGAATGAAAACAATGCCAAATTTATGTTATTCCACCATTAGCTAGACAAATAAATACAAAGCAATCTTTGGCATAATGTGGCTTTTAGACTCCTCTGTTGTGGAATCTATTCCCATGCACTACCTGGTTCTTTGCCAAGAAGCAGAAGGGATCAAAGAGAAAGGTGTATTTTCTTCCCCTTGTTAGAGTGACAGCTTCCCCCCCCCCCCCGTGGGTTTGTGCGTGTAGTCTTGAGTTGAGAATTTTGTGTCAGAGGAGATCACTCTAGCAGAAACTGTAGTTATTGTTAAGTTTCTGCACAGTATACTTGTGGTGAAGGGTTATGAGTAGATATTGTTAGCACTACTAGGTTTTGGACAGCCACTAGATCAGACTGTCCGTCCTAGAGACGGACGCTTGAGTAGCCAGCTTCCTGGTCTAAGGCTGGTTAGCTGTCTCCAACTTTGGAAGAGCTTAAAGTAGACTTAAGTAAACAGTTCCTTTGGCATTTAAAACTGTCATGCAGAGAAGAGGCCATTGAATTGATGGACCATATCCTATTATTTTGCTCCTTTTATAAAGATCCCTAATTATCAACCCCCTTCAGGATCCTTTTCCAGACCATTCAGATGATGATAGATAGATAGATAGATAGATAGATAGATAGATAGATAGATAGATAGATAGATAGATAGATAGATTACAGTTGCTTCTATCTGACCATCTTCTAAATGTGGCACAATTTTTGCTTTATTGTTTGTTTGGACATCCTGACTATATAGATGGCCTACGTTGATTTGCATTAATGTTCATTAATGTTCATTCGATTGTTTATTCACGGGATTCATGCAGTGAAGTTTTGTCATTAAAGTGAGCGGGTGGTGTTTTTTTCTTTTTTGTGTGGATGCTTTTGGTTTGGATACAGCGAGAATTATTTTAAAGAGGTTAATGGCCACTGCATATGCAAGAGGAAAAAGAAACGTGTTATTTCTGTAAAAATGAAAGCGATACAGCGACCAGCTGCTTGCCACTAAATGTTTTCCAGAAGTTCCTGTGAAATTACTTTGGGTTTTCCGCAAGATAGTTCGCCAAGTCTTTAAGGAATGAAATAACCATTCAGATGTGTTTGTCTCAACAACACTGGCTTCAGGTCCCCAATAATGCTAGCTTAAAAGTAATGTGTCAGTCTGGTGGTGTCTGAAGGAATTATCTGCTCCCCAGCAAAGCAGAATAATTGAATTCACTGCATGGTGGACCCCAAAGGTTCAGAACCCTTTGCTAGCCGAGGGCTACATTGGAATTTTTGAACAATCCAAACCATAGGAAGGTCACAAGCAAAAGCCTCGTTTGGGGTCATTTACATTTGAATTAATTTGGTGTAATTCGAATGCAGCTACCAAAAATAAAGAGTGGCAAATTTATGGGTTGCTGCCAAGGCTTCAGAGAGGTTCTGTGTCTTTGCTGTAAATGTTCTGTGACGCTCCATGTCCCGGAAAGAAATACTGCATGCCTGTTTCATCGCTTCGGCGTTAAAAATGCCTGTTTTTTTTGTTGTTAACACAGCTATGACGACTTCATGGGTTCAGCCAAAAATGTGATCAGTGAATCTGTTGATGCAGAGGACAAATACAATTTGATGGTAAGTCCTTCCTTCATGACAGTCTATCAGCCTCTTAATGTTTTGGTAGTTGGATGACATGTAAAGGCTTTACTCTCCACTGTGACCATATACGGAGAGTCCTTGAGTTACAACCATTTGTTTAGCAACCGTTCCAGGCTAACAACTGAAAATCCTCACAGTTACGACCATACTAGCAGTCCCACAGTTAGGCCATTGAACTTCGAGTGTTTGGCAACTGGCATGCGTTTATGACCGTTGCAACGTCCCAAGGTTGTGCAGTCACCATTTGTGACTTTCAGAGCTGGCTTCCAACAAGCAAAGTCAATGGGTGCAGCCAGGTTCGCTTAAGGACAGCATGATCCACTTAACAAGTGCAGTGTTTCAGTTAACAACGGTGGCAAAATGGTCGTAAAAATCACGCACCACCCACTTAACAACCGCCTGTTGGAACTGTTGGTGCCTGTCGTCATAATCCGAGGATTACCGTATATGCCAGCGTACAAGGCGACCCGGCGTATAAGACGACCCCTGTCTTTGTCGCCGAGTCGCATTCCTAGAACGTCGTCTTATACGCCGGAAACTACCAGTATTTCCGGCGTATAAGACGACTCGGCGTATAAGACGACCCCCATCTTTGGCGCCGATTTTAACGCTTGTGGAAGTCGCCTTATACACCGGCATTTACGGTACCTGTAATAAGGAATTTGAAGAATTTGGTCCAGTGCAGTTATGATACTGAAATAGTGACATTTTCAAGAGAGGTAGTAAAAAGTTGAAAATAATGTGTCTTGATTAGAGGTCTTCAAACTTGGCCCTTTTATGACTTGTGGACTTCAACTCCCAGAATTCCTCAGCCAGGCATGTGTGCCTGGCTGAGGAAATCTGGGAGCTGAAGTCCACAAGTCATAAAAGGGGCAAGTTTGAAGTCGCCTGGTCTTGATCAATCAATGCACGTTGCAAAAAGGTTCCGATTTGTGGTTGTGGCTGCAGTTTGAGCCTCTCTTCTTTTTTTAACTACTCTACTTTTGGTTTCCCCAAATTCATTGAAAGGGATCCAGTTTTCTACAGATGGAGGCAGGTATGAATTAACAGTAAAAATATTTTTCTTTCTGCTTTTTTTATCAGAGATGTCTCCCCATGCAACGGTATACCCTGAATTAACTTAGAGATGAGCCTAGACCAGGAGTCTTCAAACTTGGCCCTTTTATGACTTGTGGACTTTTATTTCCAGAATTCCTCAGCCAGCGTGCCCGGCTGAGGAATTCTGTGAGTTGAAGTCCACAAGTCATAAAAGGGCCAAGTTTGAAGACCCCTGGCCTAGACCATTTCACTGATGCCAAATAAGCGTGGAAATGCAGAATAGCAGATTTGGAAATAGTATTTCCTCAGAAGATACGAAATTTGATGGAAATGCGTTTATGGTCACCTCTTTAAATAATGTTGGTTTTTTTCCCGTAATCATGAAGAGCAATATGAATTATTGCCTCTGACAACTGGGCTTTTAAGTTTTACCTTTTCCCCTTGAGGACATTACATACACATATACACACCCACCCACACCTGTGGGTATCTGAAAATTGTCATCTACGAAAAGAGATGATCTGGTCTGGATTTGCCTCCACGAAGACTGTGGTCTGCTGCTGCAAGGGTTTTAATGCATCTTTCAGAATCTGGCAGGCCACTTTGCCAGAGTTTTACAAACCACAGGACCTCATACTGTTTACATTTGCCAGGCTTTTTTTTCCTGAAAACTTCTTTTAAAAAAGACAGCCGCTTGCAGATCTGCGTCGTTTCACCCTAACTATGGGGAAACTGAGGCTTTTAGCCCTGAAGCCCTTGCACTTGAGGTTCACCAGCCAACAAGGAGCTGGTGGGGTAGCCACAAAGAAGAGGGAATCAAGCTATTCTCCAAAGTGCCTGAAGGCAGGACAAGAAGCAACGGATGGAAACTAACCAAGGAGAGAAGCAACCTAGAACGAAGGAGAAACTTTCTGACACTTAGAGCAATTAACCAGTGGAACAACCTGCCTCCAGAAGTTGTGGGTGCTCCAACACTGGAAGTTTTTAAGAAGAGACTGGACAGCCCTTTGTCTGAAATGGTCTAGGGCAGGGTAGGCAACCTTGGCTCTTTTATGACTCGTGGACTTCAACTCCCAGAATTCCTGAGCTAGCTGTGCTGCCTCAGGAATTCTGGGAGTTGAAGTCCACATGTCATAAAAGAGCCAAGGTTGCCTACCTCTGGTATAGGGTTTCCTGCCTGAGGAGGGGGTTGGACTAGATGATCTCCAAGGTCCCTTCTGACTCTGTTATTCTGTATCTTGTAAGGAAAGCCTGGCCGCAAGTGGTTGAAAAAATAAAAATGGTTGGGTGCTCCATCCAAGAGGCGTTCTCTTTGGGGCAAGAGTGAATTCTTTCTGAGTTTGCCGTGTGCTACATCCGGTCACACCAAGAGGAGATGTAAGTTCTCTGCTCTGGTGATCCCAGGAGCTGCTTGTAGCTCTGTTTGAGTGCAAAGTCAGGGTGTCCTTTTCAATGGTCAGTCTCAGGTTTCCGCTCCTGGCTCCTTCAAGCCTCTGAGGCTGAAGTGACCCAGCCCTTTAATTCAGGGGTGAGCAGCTATGTCCACTTCAAGGCCTGTGGACTTCAGCTCTCAGAATTGACGAAGTCGGGTGCAATTCTCTGAAACTTTTGCTCTCTTCTGCAGGCTTCTTTCCAACGCTCTAACAGTCACGACAAAGTCAGGAAAATTGTAGCCGAAGAGGGCCGCACTGCAAGGAACTTGATTGCTTGGAGCGTGCCGCTGGAGAACGAGGAGGATGGTATGTGCTCGACGTTGGGCCAAACCAGCGTTTCTCAAACTTGGCAGCTTTAAGACGGGTGGACTTCAACTCCCAGAATTCCCTTGCCAACCACTGTTGAACTCCACCCGCCTTAAAGCTGCCAAGTTTGAAAAACACTGTGCTAAATTATCTCTGCTAACTTTTGCGGTTATTGTTTTGGTTTGGTGCAGGGTGACCCTGAGTTCCAAGCCGCGATTAATGGCTTCTGTGCGCTGTACATCAAGCCTTTGTGGCCTGTTCAACAAACCACAGTTAAAAGAAAGGACAGCACAACCCCTGTGAACCCTGGAAACAGCCTGGCAGAGATAGGGGCACGAATCTCTGAGTCCTTTAAAAAAAAAAAAAATTCTTTCTATTAAGAAAAGTTCATCTTTTTACAGGAAAACCGAAGTGGCAGGTGGGGGCAAAATCAAAGAGGATAAACCAAGGAACGCACAAAATTAGCAAACAGGTTTGTGCTGTTTTATTTTGTTTAACGTCCAAGCATCTGAAATGACGTTAATTTCTGGAAAGCTGCAAACGGTTAAATAAATCCACTTAGTCACATTTTACATTTTTTTAAAAAATCAAACCCCTAAAGCATTACATCGCCCGTGCAGCTAGCGAGGGGGTAGATTTTAAATGATCAGCCAAAAAGAAAGGGAAAAAAAAAATCCTTCAAAAGAGCATCCACATGTGCAGAAGCTCCTTTTACACTCTCTGGGGAAGACGGAGCCAGTGATACTAGCATTTTGAATTACCCCGGGAGTGAAAAAGGCGACCGTAACACAAACGCCCAACTGTTCAGCGTCAATAATTGGACTGTATTAAATACAAAACGAAAGTCCCCCACAGTAAAATGATCACCATAGCCCCCTAATGGACAGACGGTCTTGTAATAAGCAGGCCTGGCCAGCTGACAGGAGATTAATTTCCATATGTTAAGACCAAGCAAGTAGCCAGATCTTGAATAACCTTAAATGAATTCTTAAATAATCAATTTGAAAGCCAAATGTCTTTGCACTTAAGCTACATAAGTCCTGGTGTGCTTAAAAAAGTTGGGATCGCGCGCTGTGATGGTTTGATTATGGCCTATTGTTTAATTCGGGAGCCAACTTAATTTGGCAACTCTTAAGACTTGTGAACTTCAACACAGCTGGCTGGGGAATTCTGGGAGTTGAAGTCCACAAATCTTAAAGTTGCCAAGGTTGGACACCCCTGAACTAAGCCAAGGAAGCTGGGTTTATATATCATGCTAAACCATGATCAGATATGTTTGGTTGGATTAGGGTTAAGCCTCTGCTTGCAGTGATAACAAAGCTCTCAAGCCGATCGTTTTGCACGAAACTCCAGGATCCATGGTTTGTTTGATTGAAATCAGTGTTTCTCAAAGGCGGCCCCTTTAACTCATGTGGACTTCATCTCTCATGCATGGGGAATTCTGGGAGTTGAAGGCCATGCTTCTTGAAGTGGCCAGCTTTGAAAAACACCAGTATACTCCAAGCACGTGCCCCATTCTGGGAGGTGAAATCCACGTTTGAGAATCACTGATATAGGTGATCCGTGAACCTTCGCAAATCACGCTTAGTAGCTTAGTCTCTGGGGCGAACCTGAACAATTGAGATTTTTTTAAAAAAAAAAAAAAAAGCAGGAGAAAGTTTGTTTAGCGCACACGTGTGCTTTTCGAATCTCCTTTGCAGGGCACAGCCTCAGATTGCAAAATCACACCAGCCTCGGGGGAGAAGAGCTTCTATAAAAGCCCCACCAAGACACGGCAGCCACGGAAAGTGGACCTCCGAGCAAGATACTGGGCGTTCCTTTTTGACAATCTAAGGCGTGCGGTGGACGAAATCTACGTCACTTGTGAATCGGATCAGAGTGTGGTAGAATGCAAAGTAAGGCTCTCTTGATTGGTCCGTGGGGGGGAATGGATGTTTGACCATCATGGTTTGCCTTTGGATGCTCTCAGGACTCTGTTTTGTTTTTAAACAATGTTTATTGAAACGTTTTACAATGATGCCTTCAGTTGTGTGGCATGAGTTCGGTTAAAACTAAGAAACTTGAAAGAGAAATGGTAATTACAGCTGCTCTGTTACTCAACAAGCAGATTTACAGGATCCTTGTTTAGCGACCACAACAGGGACCAAGCAATTTGGCCACTAAGTAAAGCAGTTGCTAAGTGAAAATGCAGTTGTGCTTATGACCTTACTTCAGCTTTGCTTTACCGACGAACAAAAGTCAAGACGCGAGAATTGATTGCAGAGTGACTTTTTCCATCATGATCATAATTGAACAATTGTTCTGTGAGTCAGTCACTAAATGGGGACTGTCTGTACTGTCCTTGAAGCTTTCATTATCTGGGTTTACATAAAATATGGCGTGCCGTGGTGGCTTAATCACAATACACTTAGTAAGCCAAAACTCAGAAGCTGCAAGGTGGTTTATCTGATGCTAGTTTAGTATGCTGTGTCTTCTCAGCCACGGATTAAATCCATCATCCTTAATGTGCCACTGAGCTAGTCCTGCACAGACTGAATCGTTCTCTCCTTTGGAAATTAAAGAGGGTTTTTTTTTCTTTTTAATGAGATAATTTAGGCACAATTATGCCTTCTTCCTTGATTATTATTAATTACTTTTGAGTCGTGCTATTTCACTCCGGTCATATTTTTATCTAGGATTACCCACACGGGGTTCATCACGTTTAAAACATATGCATAATATCAACAACATCAGCCAAGTTCTGCTAAAACTAGTAACCTGGAAAGACCAGTATTAAAAGTGCCAGGCAAAATAACATAATACTCTATAAAAATGTATTAATTCTCCACTGAGGAGGTTGCCTACTTGGGTTACGAAACATCTGAAAGGCAAACAGCCCAGCTTAGAGACCTCACCTTTCAACCTGAGCTATGAATATTCTGTTAGTTCTTAACTCTACCACGTTGTTTATGCTGTGTCCTTGTGAGACGAATGGAGTCTTCGGTCTTCTGGATGTACAACCGATTTGCCAATCCAGGAGTTCCCTCCTTCAATATTCCTTTTTTCCTGTAGGGGGCACTGTTGAGTTTCTGCTGGGATCTGCCTTCTCTGGGCTTCCTACTCAGTGTCCTAATTACTGCATTGTTTCTTGCCTGCAGAGACAGTTATCCTTATTACCAGTGGTGAGCGAGGGAGTTTGATTGATGGCCTGGTATAAACAACGTCTGGGTGGGTCTAGTCATAAGTTAGTTCTCCTCGTGGAACTTTTGATGGAAAACAGACACATGTCGCCCGTGGTAGCTGTGCTGCGTTTTCCTCCCAACTCAACTGGAAGCTGCTTTGCTTCCCAGTAACAATAGATTAATTCTCTCAGGTGGGTGTATGAGTTTAAGTGGAAGATTACAAATGGCTAAATAAAGACTGAGGAAAGTCAGGAGTATGGGTGGTCCTCGGCTTACGACCACCAGTTGAGCCCCAAAACGTACATTGCTAAGTGAGAACTTGGTTAAGTGAATTCTTACGACTTTTCTTGGCACAGGGCTTAAGTGAATCAGTGCAGTGGTTCAATTAGTAACCTGGTTGTTAAGTGAGTCTGGCTTGGCTTGGCTTGGCAGAAGGTTGCAAAGGGGGATCACGTGATCCCGGGACACTGCAACCGTCATAAATGTGAGTCAAGCATCTGAATGTAAATCACGTGACCCTGGGGATGCTGCAGCGGTCATGAGTGTGAAAAATGGTTCATAAGTTACTTTCTTCGGTGCCGTTGTAACTGTGAACGGTCACTAAACGAACTGCTGTAAGTCGAGAACCAATTGTAGTCAAAATTTAGACTGATGGTGATTTTCCTCTTTTAACTGAGTTTTTTCCCCCCCTTCTCCCAGTTCTGGAAGCCGTTAGCTAAACTTCTCTGCATAAAACAGGGTTTTCATTAGCTCATGAATATTTAGTTTCCGACTGCCACAAAAGACTGCCAAGTCAGCAGCAAGATTAGTGTACAAATGAAAATCCTAAGTGAATTTGGAAAACAAACAGTGTCTTGTGGCTTTCAAGCCAGCTGTTGTTTAAATACAATTTAATTTGCATTAAAAAAGGAAAAAAAGAAACTCCGAGCAGGGTTTTCTCACTCAAGAAATTTCCCCAATGTTTTGTTTTGTTTTGTTTTGTTTTAAAAAAAGAAGCCAGGGTCTGATTGCCTTGCCGGATAATTAGATTACGATTTTCTAAATATTTATGGCTGAACGAATTAGTAGGTTATTTGTATGACATCTTTGCAGATCCAAGACCTCCTCCAAAAATTGCACTGATTCCACTCATGTTATGCTGGGAAGGAAATATTATGCAGCCAAGACTTCTTTAAAACATTGAAACATGAAAACAGATCCTTGTTTCTGAAAAGAGTTGGAAAGGAGATCGCCCAACCGTTACTCTGTTTACCAAAGTTAGGTTTTTTAAAAAACCGTGTGGAATTCCTACAGCACAAAGATGCCTTTTGAAAACCTTCGTCCTACCGGGGTGCACGGTTTGGTGAGGATCTGTAACATCTTAGCTCCTACGCAGTCGTACCAATTTACTTTTAACCGTCGTTTTCAATAAAAAAAAATACTCTGCAGCTTTTAAAAGCAGTTGGTCAACCCGTGTCAGGCGGGAAAATATAGTTAGACATACGTGCCGATCTTTACAACCGTTGTGTGGCTTTTAAATAATTTTCTTCCCGTGCAGACAGCAATCTGGTCTGAAATGATCTTAAATGTTGACTTCCTGTCTGAGTGTTAAGCTAAAGAGAGAGAGAGAGAGAAAAAAAACAGAGCAAATTACCATTTTCACAGTGAAAGAAGACAAGCTGGATGGATTTGTTGGGAAAAAAATAGACCAGGTTCTTGATGGCAGTGTTTTAGAGCAGGGGTCCCCAACCTTGGCAACTTGAAGACTTGTTGACTTCAACTCCCAGAATTCCCCAGCCAGCATGGAGTTGAAGTCCACAAGTCTTCAAGTTGCTAAGGTTGGGGACCCCTGTTTTAAAGGGCCATGTTCCTTGTCTCGCAAGGATGGAGACCTATAGCAGCTTTACCACCTGTGGACTTCAACTCCCAGAATTCCTGAGCCAGGAAAAGTTGTCAAGTTGTCACAGTTGCCCACCCCTGTTGTATCTGATGACTCTTTGTGGTTGAAACTGCAACTCAAGAGTTGGAAGAGAAGGAGGCAGGGAGGGGCTGGCAGAAAATCAGCGGTTGAGACGCTCACCAAGCCTTAAAACCTAGCTTAGAAGCCTTGAACGGTCATCCAGAAGAGTCCTCTGGAGTTTTTTACCCCCATAATTGTGTTGAATTGCCTCACCTTAATGCCTTGGAAGACGGGATTAAATGATTTGAGTATGTTCCTGTCTTACCAGAGTGCGTACATTTGTGTTTGTGCGTGTGGGTGTGTCCCGAAGGATGGAAATCCCATCTCTTCTTGTATGCTGCCCCCAAAAGAATCTCAGTGATATCACTTAGATTTCCCAGCATTCTAATTGTGTACTGTTGTTATGAATGAAGCAGACAATATTTATTGATCTGTTAGATGTATATCCTGCCTTTATTTTGTACAACTCAAAGTGGCACACACAATTCTCCTGCCTTCTAGTTTCCCTGCAACAGCAACCCTCTAAGATGGGTTGACTGAGAGGGAAAGACTGGTTTAAAGTCACCAAGCTGACTTCTATGGCTAAAGGAGGACTAGAACTGGCCCAAAGTCACCCAATCAGCTTTCACGATTAAGGCAGGACCAGAACTCACCATCTCCTGGTGATTGGTCCAAAGTCACCCAGTCAGCTTTCACATCTAAGGCAGGATTAGGACTCACCATCTCCTAGTGCACAGGTCGGCAACCTGTGGCTCCGGAGCCGCATGTGGCTCTTTGAGCCTTCCCCTGTGGCTCCCAGCCTCCACTGCCATTTGCAGAGAGAGACAGAGACAGAGAGAGGCACTTGCGCTTCCCTGCTTCTCTCTCTCTCTCTCTCTCTCTCTCTCTCTCTCTCTCTCTCTCTCTGTGTTTGTGTTTTTTTTTTTGTGTGTGTATGTGTAAAAGAGAGTGCACTCACAGTGTTCTCCGAGGAGCTGAAAAGCTTACTGGGTGGAGCTCCTCCCTTTGCTGCATCTCTGCAGGAAGCAGGAAGGGCAGGAGAGAGCTAGCTAGCCCAGCTAGGCTGACTCAGGAATTCTGGGAGCTGAAGTCCATGAGTCATAAAAGAGACGAGGTTGCTTACCCCTGAGCTTGTTGGAGAACAGCTTGAAGCTTGCCAGGTGAGCAGCAGATAGGAGAGGGGGGGGAGAAAGAGAGAGAGAGAAAGAGAGAGAGGGGGGAGGGGGAGAGAGAGAGAGAGAGAGAGAGAGAGAGAGAGAGAGAGAGAGAGAGAGAGAGAGAGAGAGAGAGAAGAGGAGTGGCAGACCAAGGGCAGATAGAGAGTGAGGGAGAGAGAGAGACAGAGAGAGAGAGACCCTTTTGACATCTAAAATGAAGATAACACTGCATATATCCTTTTTTTACCAGTATATGTATGTGTGTTTGTGTATGTATGTGTGTGTGTGTGTGTGTGTGTGTGTGTGTGTGTGTGTGTGTATATATATATATATACGTATACACATATACATATATGCACACACATACATACATACACACAAACACACACACCTATAATAAAGGTAAAAAAGGATATATGCAGTGTTATCTTCATTTTAGATATCAAAAGGGTTTTGCGGCTCCCGGTATTTTGTTTTTGGTGGGAAACGGGTCCAAGTGGCTCTTTGAGTGTTTTGGGTTGCCTACCCCGTCCTAGTGATTGGCCCAAAGTCACCCAGCTGGCTTTCATGCCTAAGGTAGGATTAGAACTCACCGTCTCCTGGTGATTGGCTCAAAGTCACCCAGTCAGCATTCACATCTAAGACAGGACTGGAACTTACCATCTCCTGCTGATTGGCCTAAAACTACCATGCTAGCTTCTATGGCTAAAGGAGTACTAGAATTCACCGTCTCCTGGTTTCTAGTCCAGCACCTTCATCATTACACCAGACTGCCTCGGTGTAAGACGAGGTGGGGAAACTGCAGCCCTCCAGATGTTTCTGGACCCTCAGCCAATAATGACAGATGCTGGGACTAGCAGTCCAGACAGGACCGAAGGACTGCTCAAATTCAGCGCCGCCTTCTCACCACCGTGGTAGTTTAGCAAAGCAGCTGATTATTTTTCAATTCCTCTGGCCTCCACTGAGACCCCCGTTTGACTAAATGGGCATAATAAGATTGCCGAAAAAAGCTTTCTAACGACAGGCACCGTTTCTAGTTTTTTTCCTAGCATCTCAACCCTCGCTCTCTCATCCTCTCGGAGAATTGCAATCGGGAGGTACTTGATCTTGGAGACTCCTGGAATCCTGTCTCAAGGGTTGGGACAATAGTACCAAAGCAAGCTGCCCCCTAAAGATTTGTGTGTGTGAGAGAGAGAGAAAGAGAGTGAGAGAGAAAGAAAGAAAGAGAGAGAGAGTGAGAGAGAAAGAAAGAGAGAGAGAGAGAGAAACCCTTCTCAAGTGGTCCAGCATTTCCACTGCTTCAGCACCCAGAGGTGACATCTGCCACGTCGGTGGGTAAAGAGGAGATCCATATCGACGGTCAGGACTCCAGAGCCCCGTGTGTGAGGATTGTGTGTCATCCCCACAAAAGGGATGGCGCCAACCGTCCGGCGGGGTGCGCCGCTCACGAGCCTGAATTACAAACCAATCGAATCCGTCGCAGCCAATTGGTAAAGTAATTGGTAACTTTAGCTGGACATCCATACGCCGTTATCAGGATGCTGGCAACGAGAGGTTTTCAGAGGCACTTTTGTTTCGACAAAATGGCCTTCGTCGCTTCGGGAAGGAAGACGGGCCTCCCTGCGTGGGGGGGGGGGAGAAAGAGGCAGCTCCAGCCCCTCGTCTGAGTTGTCACGTAGGACTTGTGTTACGGCTGCCCGCTCTGACGCGTCGGGATAAGCCTTATTTTCTGAAATAAGTTTCTTTCAGCCATTAAATGTAATTTGGGGCACGCTTGTCAGTCCTGGTTAGATAATTGCATCTTGCTCGGATGAGCCCGGCGCTAAGAAGCTGCACATTGTTAGGCTGGGATTTTTTAAAAAAACTTTCTTTTTGCAGTTCCTTGCTCAATTACATTTTTTTAGTTATACACTTGGGGCGACGAGCAATTTCTTTTGGGGTACCTGGCCTTACAGAGGATGCTTAACCTCACAGCCCCTCTGTGAGGGGGGATAGAAGGTTAAAAAGTTTAATATAAAATAGATAGATAGATAGATAGATAGATAGATAGATAGATAGATAGATAGATAGATAGATAGATAGATAGATAGATAGATAGATAGATAGATAGACAGAGAAAGAGAAAGAGAAAAGAAAGGAAAGAAAGAGGAAGGAAGGAAATAAAAAGGAAGGAAGGAAAGAGGAAGACAGACAAGAAAGAAAGAAAGAAAGAAAGAAAGAAAGAAAGAAAGAAAGAAAGAAAGAAAGAAAGAGACTGCTTCTTTGTTAATCAGCTACTTTGGTTTATCCAAATAAATGATGCTCATTTCATTTGGCTTGCATTCAGTATTAAAATCTGCCCCCAAAGAGCCCTGCCCTTCTGAGGCCACCTCATTTAGACCCCCACCTCCTTTGATGGCCGAACATAGCTTCCAAGGGCCGCACCTGCACAGCGTGTCCTGCACTCCATCAAGCAAACAATATTAGCCCAGAGGTGAGGAAGCTAAGAGGAGGCCCAATAGAACTCCTTCCATCCTTGAAGGAGGGTGCGGGTTTATTCTCTGTGATGCTTGAGGACAAGAACTAGTGGTGGAAACTTGAGAGAGAGACATCTAAATTCAAAATAAAGGAATTTTCTGAACGAGACAGTCATTAAGCGATGGAACAGCCTAACCTTTGAAATCGTGACGCCTCCATCGCTCTCGATACTCCATTTTTTCCAGCAGCTGACAGAATGTGCTTGACTTGAACAATTTGTGCAATCAAGAACTGGATGAGAGTTGCGCCAGTTTGCACAGAGGGAGTTATCCCGATGCTACCGCCCATGCCTCTAGGATGATTTATTTGTATTGTTGTTTTTCCCTCTGGCTTATTCCTTCGTTGTTTTATTTTGTGGCTGGTTAAAGTGCTAAGCTCCTCTTTTGATAAAGTTTCTTCTTCTTTCCAGGAGGTGTTGATGATGTTAGACAACTATGTGCGGGATTTCAAGGCCTTGATAGACTGGATTCAGTTGCAGGAGAAGTTGGAGAAGGCCGATGCTCAAAGCAGGTAATTGGAAAAGATCTCTCTCTCGCGCTCTCTCTTTTTTTTTTTCTTTCTTTCCTTCCTTCCTTCCTTCCTTCCTTCCTTCCTTCCTTCCTTCCTTCCTTCCTTCCTTCTTCTTTCTTTTCTTTCTTTCTTTTCCCCTCCTTCCTTACCTCCCTCCCTCCTTCTTCCTTCCTTCCTTTCTTTGTCTTTTCTTTCTTTTTCTTTCTTTTTCTTTCCTTCCCTCCCTCTTTCTTTCTTTCTTTCTTTCTTTCTTTCCTTCCTTCCTTCCTTCCTTCCTTTTTCTTTGTTTCCTTCCTTTCTTCCTTCCTTTTTCTTTGTTTTCTTTCTTTCTTTCTTTCTTTCTTTCTTTCTTTCTTTCTTTCTTTCTTTCTTTCTTTCTTTCTTTCTTTCTTTTCAAGATCAAATATTTAGTACTCCCTGGGTGTGGAAAGAAGAAAACGATGGGCAATGTCATCAGAGAAGTAAAAAGAGCAAGACAGCTTTGCACTAACGGAGGATCCTCCAGGAGTGACTTGGGGTGTTGCTTTCAGGGGAAAGAAAGGCGACTTCTTTGCTGAGTTATTCTCCATAATTTTCAGGCCAACTTCGCTAGCGTGGGAAGTCAAGAAGATGTCCCCAGGGCGTCATGTTATTCCCAGCCCATCGACCGACAGAATCAGCGTGACATCCAATGCCCGAAGAACTCTCAATTTTGGGTATGCAAATTAAACAGCTTTCACTATTTCAAGGGTGAAACGGGTGGGCTACGGCCAGCCAGACGGAAGCATTTTGGCTCAGCAAGCCTGGAAAACAACAGGCTGACCAGAGTTACTGGAGACTTTTAACTCCTCCTGTTTCCATCTACGCTACAATTCTGGTGGACATTTCGGCTTCCTCGCTACTTGTACCCAGTAGGGAAATAGTAATTTGTTCACTGCTTCCCAGCTGCTGGCTCACCCCCTAGTTGGGTGGGAAAAACTAGGTGAGCTTTCACAGCCACAGAGCGACCGGTTGAGGTTCCATGGGCACCTCTGTGGGGTGTCCAATCGGGGCCACTTTAAGACTTTGTGGACTTCAACTCACCAAGCTGGGGCGACAAGAACAGACGCCAGAATTTATAACACAGAGAACGGGTTAGAACATGCCAAATCGTTTTAATGGCTGGGGGATCATGAGTTGTTTCTTCACGTAGAGGACCTCCTGCGGCCGTGACCTCCAACCGTCTGAGTCCTTCTGGGGTCAGCTGGGCAGACAAAGTCAAAGCAAGCCACCCAGGAACAGCTCCCTGTTCGAAGGAGGCAGCAGCCCAGGTCCAGGGCCCCCCTGCAGCGCAGAAGCCGTCCCGCAGAACTGGCAAGTTTCCCCCCCCCCTTTCCGGTCCGGTCAGCATTGTTTTGGTACCCCCAGTCCTTTCAAAGCAAGGCACGCAATTAAACAGAGGCTGCATTTTAAACATCCTATCTAAAAGAGGAAACCTTGTGGTCATAGAAAGTGTGAGGAAGGGTGGGGGGGGGGGAATAAATCTTTGCTTTTTTTAAACCTCACCATCTAGGATCCCTAGTTTAAAAACAGCTCAGGAAGGTTTGAATTTCAGACCACGGGAAGCTTACCAGTAGCCCCGCTAGAGGCATGTGTAGCTCATGTCTTCGAAGCAAAGCCGATAGGTAGACTGGGTGTGTAGCAACTAAAGGGAGTAGAACTATGTTAAAAGCGATAATGGACAGCTTGTTTTCGGAATGTAGGTGACCCCCCCCCTAATCCTGTTGTTGTTTCTTCTGCTCAAAATATGAAGACTGGGGAGGTTTTTGCAGAGGTCAGCAACGCATCCCCCTCTGTGTGGGACATCAGCTTCGCTAAGTTCAACGGAAGAGTCCTGTGTGAATGCCTTGTGCCTCCTTCCCCGTCCACGCAATTGGCTTGAGCGATTCAAGCACAAGGGGTGGCGAAGGGCCCCTTCCCATTTCTTTCCCCACACCCTCCCTGACTTCTCGTTTTTTTAATCAGCGGGTCTGGCATCTTTCCAAACCAATCGCCTTCCAGCGATGGAGCCTTTTGTCGAGGAGACGGGGTTTCCAGCCTCTTGGAAATGTTGGGTGCCGTTTCCTGTATTTTTTGAAATGGATAATTCCATTTTGGAGATGGCCGGCACGGTAATCGCAGAGCGGAAGTATATGGAGCATTGGGGGGGGGGGTTGATGTGACACGACAGTGGTTAGTAAATTGCTTAGCACATAAAGAGTCGCCTAAATCCATTTGCTTATTATTATGAAAGCTTGAGAGAGCACTTTTTTTATTTTGATCCCCTCCCTTTCCTTCTTTCCTCCCTCTCCTTCTTCTTCCCTCTCCTTCCTTTCCCTTCCTTCCTTCTTCCCTCCCCCTCCCTCCCTCTCCTTTCCTCCCTCCTTCTCCTTCCTTCCTTCCTCCTTCCCTCCTTCCCTTCCTCTCCTTTCCTCCCTTCCTCCCTTCCCTCCCTCTCTCCCTCCTTCCCTCCTTCCCTTCCCTACCTTCCTTTACTTCTTTCCTTCCTCCTTCCCTTCCCTACCTTCTGTCCCCTCCCTCCCTCCCTGATCTATGCCCACTGAATGGAAGGATGCTGTTTCAGCCAGAAGGGAAGAAACTCACCGTCCACCCGCAGGAGAACGAGGGCCTTTTAAATAGATGGTCTCCTTGAAGGAACCCCAGCTCTGCAGGTCTCCTGTGACTTGGTCCTGCCCTGTCACTAATAAGGTTACCGGGCAGTTCTTCCAGATGGGCTCCTTTGAAAGGCAGAACATCTAAATGGCTTTTAGGCAGGGTGGGGGGCTCAGCCCAACAGATGGTTTGTCCCTTCCATGTAATACAAGAGGAAGCAGAGAGTGGGAGGTCGAGTGTGGTTAGAGAATTGTCAAAATAATCCCGTGAAATATTCATGGACAAAACGGGGCAAGTAACTAAATCCAGCTTATGATATATCCAGGGGAGGATAACGTGTGTTGCCTTTCTTTTTTTGAACACCGTCTTCCGTGTTGTAGTATGTGGCCATATCATGGGCGCCTCACTTCTCCCGGTCTGCCAGGTCATCTTAGAGCCCAATTTAAAATACCTGTTGACTTGAATGAGGCTAAATAGCTGATACCTGTCGGAAGAGGAACCTTGTGCATTCTGTGACAGGCTTTGTACAGGAATATTGCTCTCTTCCATTTTCTCCAAACTGGAAGAAGAATAGAAGAGAATTTTTGTAGCTCAGGGTTGAAATGAGGGTCCTTGGTGATCTCTGAGCTTTTCTGTTTTCATGCAGACATTTCATAACCCAGCTAGGTAACATCATCAGTGCTAGAAGGGAGGAGGAGGAGGAGGACAACAACTGTGGGGTCCTTGGTGCTCTCTGAGCTTCGCTGTTTTCATGAGGACATTTCATTACCCAGCTAGGTAACATCATCAATGCCGGAAGAGAGCGGAGAGTGGGGTTTAAATGCAACATTGGTCTGTTTACAGAATCCTAACTGGGCTAATGGATGCAAAGTACAGGTAGCCCTCAACTTATGGCCACTAAGGAGCCCAGCCTTTCTGTTGCTAAGTGAGACGGTTGTTACGTGAATTTTGCCCCATTTTACGACCCTTCTTGCCACCGTTGTTAAGTGGATCACTGCAATTCTTAAGTGAATCTGGTTTCCCCATTGACTTTGCTTGTCGGAAGATCACTAACGGGATCACACGACCCTGGGATAGTGCCAAGCGTCCGAGTGTAAATCACGTGACCCTGGGGATGCCGCAAGGGTCGTAAGTGTGAAAAACGGTCCTAAGTCCCTTTTTTCAGTGCCATTGTAACTTTGAACGGTCACTAAATAAACTATTATTAAGTCGAGAACTATCTATAGTTAAGGCCATTTTTCCTCTTTGCCTAGCTCAGGGGTAGGCAACCTTGGCTCTTTTATGACTCGTGGACTTCAACTCCCAGAATTCCTGAGCCAGCATGGGGGAACTTGGAACCTCTCCCTTTCCCCTCAGCATGGCTGGCTCAGGAATTCTGGGAGTTAGTAATAGAAATAGTAGTAAAGTTGGAAGGGACCTTGGAGGTCATCTAGTCCAACCCCCTGCTCAGGCAGGAAACCTTACACCAGTGGTTCTCAACCTTTCTAATGCCGCGACCCCATAATACAGTTCCCCGTGTTGTGGTGACCCCCAACCACTTATACATCACCGGGTGCCAGGGGCGTGGCCAAAGAAAAGGTTGGAAAAAATGGCGGACAGCCTTGTTTGGCGACCCCCGTGAAATGGTCGTTTGACCCCAAATGGGGTCCCGGCCCACAGGTTGAGAACCACTGCCCTACACCATTTCGGACAAATGGCTGTCCAGTCTCTTCTTAAAAACTTCTAGTGTTGGAGCATTTACTGCTTCTGGAGGCAGGTTGTTCCACTGGTTTATTATTCTAACTGTCAGGAAGTTTCTCCTTAGTTCTAGGTTGCTTCCCTTCTTGGTTAGTTTCCACCCGTTGCTTCTTGTCCTGCCTTCAGGTGCTTTGGAAAATAGCTTAATTCCCTCTTTATGGCAGCCCCTGAGATATTGGAATACTGCTATCATGTTCCCCCCTTGTCCTTCTCTTCATTAAACTAGACAGAGCCAATTCCAGCAGCCGTTCCTTATATGTTTTAGTCGCCAGTCCCCTAATCATCTTTGTGGCTCTTCTCTGTACTCTTTCTAGAGTCTCCACATCTTTTTTACATCGTGGTGAAGGGCCGAGGTTGCCTACCCCTGGCCTAGAGTCTCCCTTTTTTTAGTGCCCACTGACTGCCTAACTTCATTTTTACTCCCTTGCCTAACAACAGTGAAGACAAAATATTCCGGAAGGTTTTCTTCCCCAAACGCTGTTTTCCCCTGCTAAGTTTTCCTTCTGATTCCTTGGCTGGCTTTTCAATGCAGAGAGGAGGGACGCCGAAGGCTGGGAGACCGTCCAGCGTGGGAGGCCGGTTCGGTCCAAATCTTCTGCTTTAGTCCCCAAAACCAAGTCGTCCGCGGAATTATCCCAGGCGAAGGATGACAGTGACAAAGAAAACGTAATTCTTCATCCGCTGGCCAACAAACAAAAGGCTTCCTTGACCGAGGACGGCACGTCGCAAAATGCAGATCCCCTCTTGAAGGACCCTTGCCCTCAGTGTGAGCATCCCCTTGCTGAGAGGACTCAGGTGAGCGTGACTGGATCTGTCGCTTTTTTTTTTTTACAGTGGCTGATGGGCTGCGAGAAGGAGCGAAAACAGAAAAGGGAGATTTGGAGTGAGGCAAACAAATAAATAAAAGGATGGAATTGCCTTGAGTCATTTAAACAAGAGCTTGGATCCTTTGAGGATCCCGCTTCCTTATCTGCCCCTCTGTCACGCCTTAGTTCACAGGCCGGGTGTCTGAAGACCTCAAGGTCTCCGAAAAGATCACGGGACCTTCGCAACCCTCTTTCGAGCTGCCGCTTGTGTGCATAGACGTCGAATGCAGCGCCGAGAGTCCACAGCGGGACGGCCGTGGAACCTCCATCGCTCCAAAAAGCGAAGAAGCAGAAAATGTCAAGAGTGAAAGCGAAATGGATCCTGCAGATATTTCAAACGTAAATCTCTTCATTTATACCAATATCTTTCTCTATCTATCTCTTATCTCTATCTCTGTCTGTATTAAGAGAGAGAGAAAGAGAACCACAAAACAAAAATACCCATCTGCTTGCAGTAAATTCCTTCCCTCCCTCCCTCCCTCCCTCCTTCCTTCCTTCCTTCCTTCCTTCCTTCCTTCCTTCCTTCCTTCCTTCCTTCCTTCCTTCCTTCCTTCCTTCCTCTTTCTCATCTTCCCTCCCTCCCTCCTTCCTTCCTTCCACTTTCTCATTTGCCTTCCCTCCCTCCCTCCCTCCCTCCCTCCCTCCTTCCTTCCTTCCACTTTCTCATTTGCCTTCCCTCCCTCCCTCCCTCCCTCCCTCCCTCCCTCCTTCCTTCCTTCCTTCCTCTTTCTCATCTTCCCTCCCTCCCTCTCTCCTTCCTTCCTTCCTGGTATAGGGTTTCCTGCCTGAGCAGGGGGTTGGACTAGATGACCTCCAAGGTCCCTTCCAACTACTACTACTACTACTACTACTACTTATTATTATTATTATTATTATTATTATTATTATTATTATTACGTCAAGGAGCACCTATATCTTTCACTGAGTCCCCAAGCATAAAATTCAGGTGGTAACAGTGATGTCTACCTGGGCAGGTGTTTTATCGAATCCCCAGTCTGTTTTTCTGATCTCCGTTTCCGTTTTGCAGTCCATGGCCGAGGTGCTCGCCAAAAAAGAGGAGCTGGCGGATCGCTTGGAGAAAGCCAACGAGGAGGCCATTGCGAGCGCGATCGCCGAGGAGGAGCAGCTGACGAGGGAGATCGAGGCGGAGGAGAACACCGACATCAACCTGGAAACGGACAACGACAGCGACTTCTCTGTGAGTTTTCAGTTGGATGGGGGAAACTGACATTGATGGAGCGGTTCTTTTTTCGAGCCCAGGTCGGACTTGAAAATACAACGCTGGGCTTTTATATACTTCTTGACATTGAAGAATAGCCGGGCCCTCGCTCTGTAATCGCAGAGCCAGGAAAAATATACAAAAGTATTCTGAATTGTGAGGTTTCCTTTTTTTTTCTTTTTTTGGAACTGTGTAGAAATTAACTGCTTGTTTCCCAGTTAGAGAATTCATGCGACACTCTTGAGATTTGCAGGGAACCGGGAACTTTTGGGAAAAGAACAAAGAGCCTCAGAAACTGGAGATTGAGGACAAACCCTGGTTTGTTCTCAGCGAAAGACCAGCAGCAGACAGCCCTTTTGCCCAATTCCCTGCCTTTTCAAAAGTAGGGCGTAATTGTGATTAAAAAACAAGCCAGAACATAGGTTAAGATCCTCGCTAACAGGTAATCCTCAAACTTAGGACCATTTAACAACAGTTCAAAGTTACAACAGCCTCAGAAAAGTGACTTAACGACCTGCACTCACACTTAAAACCGTCCCACCAAGTCAAGGGATTGCAATTCACGCATTTGGCAACTAGCCATCATTCACGGCTGGTCGCTGCATCCTGCAGTCATGTGATTGTAATCTGCCACCTTCTTTTTGCCAATTTCACGCAAAAAAAAAAAATTACCTGGGTTCACTTAACAATTGTGCCATTCGCTTCGCAGCAAAGTGATTAGCTTAATCGCAGACATTAAAAATAAACCAAGTGTCATGGTTCCGACAGATGAAACTCTTCAAAGAACTTTGAGGCATTGTTTTCCTTAAACGAATCTTTATTCAAGGAACATAGCATCCGCACGTACATAGGCATGTACATAGGCAAAGCCAAAATCTGAATTCCCCTCCCCTTAGCACATAGCATCAAGCCCAATTCCCTCCTCTAATTAACAGTCATAAATCACATTCTCCAATTAGTTTGAAATGCAGGCATCCCCTCCTGTTCTCCAACCACCATTTCTTATCATCTACTTCAAAAAACCTTGGTTCTCACACTACTGCAATATTGTTATGTCTAACTAACTCCCATGCACATTCCTCCTCCTCCCCCCAGTATGATCTAATTCTAAGAGTAAAACATAAGAAGGAAAATGGCTGCCTCTCCATATGTTGTCAAAGCAAGAACATCCGATGTTCACAGCGTTGCCACCGAGTCTGACTTGACTTAGGACAGAAATCCCAGTCCCGATTGTGGTCACCTGTCACAGCCGTTGTTCTGATGTGCAGAAAGTGGGAAGGAACAAGATGAAGGGGAATTCCTTCTACAGGGGGTCCTCGACGTACGGCCACAATTCAGCCCCGGATTTCTGCTGCTAAGCGAGACATTTGTTTAAGTGAGTTTGGCTCCCATTTTACAACCTTTCTCGTTGCAGTTGTTAAGTGACCCATTGCAGTTGTTAAGTTAGTAGCACGGTCGTTAAGCGAATCTGGCTTCCCCATTGACTTTGTTTGTGAGGTCACAAAAGGGGATCGTGTGAGCCCAGGACCAGCATAAATGTGAATCAGTTGCCAAGCGTCTGAATTTTGATCACGTGACTACAGGGGGGGGGTGCTGCAATGCTCATAAGTATGAAAAACAGTCGTAAGTCACTTTTTCCAGTGCCGTTGTAACTCCGAGCGGTCACTAAATGAACTGTTGTAAGTCGAGGACCACCTGTACATTGTTAGAGAGCCTCTGAAATTTTCTTTTTGCATTCTGGATTTTCAGGCCAGCCTGGGCAGCATATCCTTCTGCGGCATTTCCATGGATTGGAATGACGTCCTGGCGGATTACGAAGGTACAGCCTCTTTTCTCAACCCGAGCTAAGGCCGTTCTTGTTAAGGGAGCCCATTTCCAGTTCGTTGGAGAGCCCTGTGCTCATCACCACCACCACCACCACCACCAGGCAAGGATGGCCAGCTATCCGGCCCCTGGATCAGCTTCGGCTTCCAAAACCGATCCTCTGCTTTTTCGCAGCTCGTGAATCGTGGCGCCAAAATAATTCCTGGGGCGACATCGTGGAAGAAGAACCAGCTCGCCCACCGGGCCACGGAATCCACATGCACGAGAAACTGTCTTCTCCCTCCCGCAAGAGGTCTTTACTTTTTCAACTTTTTGATTCCATTATTCGGGGGAAAACCCTGAATCGGAATCTGCATGAGTAATAATACTGATCATTGAAAGATGGGGAACTTTGTGCCAATTCGAGCACATTCAGAATTTCTCGCTAGGAAATTCCAAGCCTGTATTTAGATTAGAAAGCCTTCCCCCAAAAATATCCCAGAAGAAGGCAGTGGGAGAGCACTTCTGTATCACTGCCTACAAAAGACCACAGACTACACCTGTAGCCGGCAGAGATGTGTTGTCTCAGGAGTTGGCAGCCCCCGACGGTCCTTGATCGAGATTGAAGCTGATCAGGGATTGTCCTGGTTAGTACCAGGATGGGAAACCATAAGGAAATCCTTAATTATAGCTTAGACTGAGAAGGTGAAATAGAATCCCAGCATAAGGAAGTGGAAAGCCTCTTTGGTATTACTGTCAAGAAGAACCACACAACAAGAGAGATATGTTATTGTATGGAGAAGATGGATAGAATATATTCAGAAGAAATATGGAACTACAAAGTTTCATTTTTTATGAGTAATGGATTTGTTTATAAAATTATGATGTTAAAGTTTGAAGAGAGTTAAGGGTTAGTATGATTTTGGTTATTGTATAATTAGTAAACTTAAATAGATTATGTTTAATATGTTTGTATAACCCTGTACTTGGCTCTGGGAAGTGGGGGGGTGGGGGGGAGGTTGGGTTGGAGGTTAAATAGCTCAGAAAAGTAGAAATAGTTTTATTGTATATAATATTGATGTTTTAATTTGGAGAGAGGAATTGCTCGGGCATTTCCCCTGGACTGCATCCGGAATGAGAAGATAGGAGGAAGGGGAGAAGTAAGTAGGAAGGTTGAGGAGAAGGAGGAGAGGGGGAGAGTGAGGAAGAAGAGGGAAGTGAGAGAAGAGGTTAGAGGGGGGATGCAGTTTGGGGGGAAATGGGCGAGCAATACCGAAAGTTATGTCTATAAATTTATTTTACTCTTTATCTGAAGTATTTTTTATGAATGTAATGTAAAACTGAAAAAAAAAAAGAAGAAGAAGAACCACACAGATGCCTGTATGATGTCCCTAGGAGCTCTGAAGAAAACCTTTAGATATTGCAAGACCTGCAGATATTTTGGACTGCACATTGATTGAGCTGCTGAGACTTCGGATCCAAAATGTCTGGAGGGAACTCTAGTCTTCTTATGTAACAGAAGATTTTCCATGGCCTATGCCTGAACAATCTTAGCAGTGATTATTATCACAATCATGTACAACTACACAGGTACACTATATTGGGCCCTGTAAATGGAGATTGAACTGGGGATCTTCTAAATGAGACGTTGATGTCTGTGAAATTCTCCAAATTCTAACTCTGTTTTTAAACCTTCTCTAATGTTTATACACTGTTCTGTAGATTTCAGCTGCCTCCGCGTTGTTCTTCCGCTGCTCAGTTTTCCGTGTCTTTTCTTTCCCAAGGACAATTGCAGAATCGAAGAAGAAGCACGAAGAGAAGCAGAAGAAGGCTCAGCAGCTGAGAGAGAAGCTCCGCGAGGAGAAAACTCTAAAGCTTCAGAAATTAATGGAAAGGGTAAATTTTGCCAGGGCTCCTTTTTTTAATGTCCCAATCCTGAAACTGGGACCCAAAGTTGGGATCCTAATACCATATGGTGTTACGATCGCTATGACCACAATCAATATTAATGGCACACTGAAAGAAACCACAACGGTTGGAGGCTTGTTTGACTCTTCGTTCTCCTCTGCAGGAAAAAGATGTGAAAAAATGGAAAGAAGAATTGTTGGATCAGAGACGAAGGATGATGGAGGAAAAATTGCTCCACGCAGAGTTTAAACGTGAAGTGCAGTTGCAAGCGATTGTCAAAAAAGCCCAAGAGGAAGAAGCTAAGGTAAGATCACTCAGATCAGACTCTTGTTGCATTTTATGGATATGATCCTGATTACAAGTTAGTCCAGAGCCTGGCAATAGAAATCATAATATATCTTTGGTCCAAATTTGTGTACCCCCGATCTACTAAAATTGCATTAGGTGTCTTCCTTTCAGTCCAGTCACTAGGGTACATTCTCTATTTTAGAATTGCAATGACACAGTGGTCCTCAGTCTGACGGTCTGTTTGTCTTTTCTGAAGCTATTTGTCTTCAAAGTTACCTCAAAACAGTGAGATAGAACCATCAAGGTCCTTCTTCTGAAGCTTTCAGGAAGACTTTGAAGGCCAAGTGTGCTTTTCAGCTGCTGGATGTTGACACTTGACTTTCCGCCGGCGGTGAACTGTTTCCACCAAAGGCACAATTCTCACTGTGTCGTGTTTTATCGCTAGGTTCAGTTCCTTGAAGACAACCTGCACATTATTTTCAAGTGAAATAAACTGATATAAGCGCAGCCACTTAGATTTGACGGAAAAGTTGTTAGAGACATGAACTTTTGCTCCGAGGTGCTGTTTGCTTGGTTTGGCATCTTAACTCAGAATCCCCCCCCCTTTTTTTTTAAATGTGCTGTTCTGTGTCAGTTCGATAACATGTAGGCAGAGCCATCCTATAAATTTGATTTTCGCTACGGTGATGTAGAGAGTTGATTTGTAGGCAAGATTTTTGTACTACGGCGAGGGCTGCTTTTCATTTTCACAGTGGATGGAGAATTTCAAGGGTCTCTGCGTGTGTACACACCGGATGCTATTTTTGAAGAGTCATGTTTTTAATGCTTTGCAAGCCCTTAAGACAGCACAATTGGCTAAGTCCATTAGCTGCTGGCTGCTTCTGCCCTTTCCTTAGAGCTGCTGTCATGTCTTTTACCTGCGGGCCCTGGTTTCCTTAATCCCGAGTGACCCACGGCAATCAGATTAACAACCCAACTTGTCATAATTCCCACTTTAGCAGATGTGCTAAAGCATTGCATCGGTTCAGCAGGGCGAGATCCCCAGCCCTTTGCACCCCGAGATCACGGCTAATTGGGTCAGAGCTACTGGTGGGGAGGAGGGGGGGGGCAAAGAGAAAGAAGGCTGGGACTTTCACAGCTGTTCCTCTATTCCTTGCCCCCTCCCACCGCCACCCGCTCAGTGAGCTGCAAAAATTCACCCTGCAAATGTGTTCCACCAGGCAAGCAGAGCGGAAAGTTGGTCTCGTCTGGGGATGTTTGACACAGCTGTAAATGGTGAGGGGAGAAGCACTAAAATCATACAGTCAAAAGAGGCTGTTTAGCCTCTACATCTAGTGTTCAACTCAGGACAGAAGTATCTCGTGTCTTTCTTTGGGTTAGGGGGCAAGAGCTGAGTAAGAAAGATAAACGGGAAATGGAATATGGTACAACTGAAGAGGCTTTTTAAAGAGGGAGAGAGAGTAGTAGACCACTGCTTAGGGAACCCTGTGCTTTGGGATGGTCTTTCTCCATCCCAGGCTAGTCAATTCATTCTCAAGAGGGGAAGATCCTCAGAAATCCAGCTAGGGGACCTTTTGCACAAACAGGAAACACATTGCACAAATCACTTTGACGTGATGATGTGGTGGAGGACTTGAACACACTTCCCTGGTTGGTGACCCACCAGTGGGGTCTGTCCTGGGGCTCCAGATCCAGAGATCTTTCCATACATTCTCATATCAGTTTTCCCTGTTGTTACCTAGTTGGGTAATGAAACGTCTGCAAGAAAACAGCCAAGTTCAGAGAGCATCAAAGAACCCCACAGATCTTTCCTTCGCTTAGGACAGCGTTTCCCAACCTTGGCAACTTTAACATGGGTGGACTTCAACTCCCAGAATTCCCCAGCCGGTCACGCTTAAGTTCACCAAATTAGCCGATTTCTCACAACCGATGGGATGTATAAATGTCTAAAGTGTTTGCCGTTTTATTTTGCTCCGATCCGATTTTTTATCGGGGTTCCCATTCCGTCTTTGGCAGGTGAATGAAATTGCGTTCATAAACACCTTGGAAGCCCAGAATAAGCGCCACGATGTTTTGTCCAAGCTGAAAGAATACGAGCAAAGACTGAATGAATTGCAGGAAGAGCGCCAACGAAGGCAGGAAGAGAAGCAAGCCCGCGATGAAGCTGTCCAGGTACCGCTGAAAGTCACAAAGGCTAGAAGCCAGTAACAAAGAAGAGAGGAGATTTTAATGGTTTTATTTCTTTGCCTTACTGGTGTCCTTCTTTGGAATACTATTGAGATAGCCTGTCTTCCCCTTCCCTCTCTTCCTTTTCCTTCGCTTCCTTGTTTTCTCCTGCCTCTAAAATGCTACTGAGCTCTGAATCATACAGAAATAGCAGAAAAGAGATTTGCTCTTAAGTGTCCATGCCCAGGAATGAGTTAGCCTGCATGGAACTAACTCAACATGGTGATATTATCTGTCTGTCTGTCTACTATCTATCTCTCATCTGTCTGTCCATCCATCCATTGCCTATCTATATTCATCAATTTACTAGCTATCTCCATCCATCCACCCATCCATCCATTATCTAGCTATCCATCCAGTCTTTCTATATCCATCATTTTTCTAGCTATCTCCACCCATCCATCTATTATCCATCCATCCTTCCATTGTCTATCTATATCAGTGGTGGCGAACCTATGGTACGCGTGCCAGAGGTGGCACTCAGAGCCCTCTCTGTGGGCATGCACACTGCAGCCACTAGCAACTCGTGCAGGTCCATTAGGCTGCCACCGCCCGAAGCAGCAGCCCCACCCAGCACAAAGCAGGCAAAATGGCCGGCTACCAAGCTCGAGTAGAGATGTTAGAGTATCGAGGTGGCCACACCTACCTGGCTACAGCCACCCAGTCTGCTGTGACCACTCTGGCCACGCCCACCCAGTGGGCCACACACCCCACCCTCCCTGAGGGAACCACAATGCTGATGCGGCCTTGGCACTTTGCAGTAAATAAGTGGGTTTTGGGTTAGGGTTTGGGCACTCGGTCTCTAAAAGGTTCGCCATCACTGATCTATATCCATCCATTTTCTAGCTATCTCCATCCATCCATCCATCCCAAATCTTCTGTCCTTTCTGTTGTTGTTAATTGCGAAGTCGTGTCCGACCCATCGCGACCCCATGGACAACGTTCCTCCAGGTCTTCCTGTCCTCTACCATCTTCTGGAGTCCATTTAAGTTCACACCTACTGCTTCAGTGACTCCATCCAGCCATCTCATTCTCTGTCGTCCCCTTCTTCTATTGCCCTCAATCTTTCCCAGCATTAGGCGCCCTTCTCCAGTGAGTCCTTCCTTCTCATTAGGTGGCCAAAGTATTTGAGTTTCAACTTCAGGATCTGGCCTTCTAAAGAGCAGTCGGGGTTGATCTCTTCTAGGACTGACCGGTTTGAACGCCTTGCAGTCCAAGGGACTCGCAGGAGTCTTCTCCAGCACCATAGTTCAAAGGCCTCAATTCTTTGGCGCTCAGCCTTTCTTATGGTCCAACTTTCACAGCCATACATTGCAACTGGGAAAACCATGGCCTGGACTATGCACACTTTTGTTGGCAGGGTGATGTCTCTGCTTTTTAGTATGCTGTCTAGATTTGCCATAGCTTTCCTCCCCAGGAGCAAGCGTCTTTTAATTTCTTGGCTGCAGTCCCCATCTGAGGTGATCTTGGAGCCCAGATAAAATCTGTCACTACCTCCAATTCTTCCCCATCTATTTGCCAGGAATTGAGAGGGCCGGATGCCATGATTTTGGTTTTCTTAATGTTGAGTTTCAAGCCAACTTTTGCACTCTCCTTCTTCACCCGCATCAAGAGGCTCTTTAGTTCCTCTTCACTTTCTGTCCTTTCTATCATTGTGCAAACCATTTGGCATTTCCATATTTAGCAAGTGAATTGTTTGCTCTCTAGGAACGGAAGAGAGCTCTGGAAGCGGAGCGTCAGGCACGGGTGGAAGAGTTGCTAACGAAGAGGAAAGAACAAGAAGCTCGGATTGAGCAGCAGAGGCAGGAGAAGGAGAAAGCCCGGGAAGATGCCGCTCGGGAACGGGCCAGGTAGCCGTTGTGAACCATTCCCAGTTTTTATTTAATTTTAACCCAAGAGTTTCGGTCAGGGCTTTTCAACCCCGCCAACTTTAAGATGCATGGACTTCAATTCCCGGAAGCTGAGGAATTCTGGGAGAAGAAGTCCACCCATCTTAAACTTGCCCCGATTGAGAAATGTTTGCAAACGGAATGTGCAAATGCTACATTCATTTAATGAGTTTCACCCTAGAAAATAGAGACACCCATATGGAGTATGTTGGATCTACTGTATGAATGGAGGGATATTGCTACTTCTTGAAAAGGCGGGGATCCAATCGCGTGCCTTAATTTTTCAACCTCTCTGCTCTTTGCATAGAGATCGGGAAGAGAGATTAGCTGCTCTCACTGCAGCCCAGCAAGAAGCCATGGAGGAGCTCCAGAAGAAGATCCAGTTGAAGGTATGGACTAGAAATACATCTCCAGAAAGGCATAGACCAGTAGTTCTCAACCTGTGGGTCTGCAGACTCCTAGGGAGGGTGCAGTGTCGTTACAAGGGGTCTGCAAGGGCTTGAAGAAATGATTTAAACCTTGAGTTGTCTTGCGGGTCCGTGGCCACAAAAGGTAGCTAAAGGGGATCTGTGGTGAAGGTTGAGAACCAGCGGCCTAGAGATCTTAACCTTTCTCTTTCGATCGCACACAGCACGATGAGAGCATCCGGAGGCACATGGAGCAGATAGAACAGAGGAAAGAAAAAGCCGCCGAATTGAGCAGTGGGAGACATGCCAACACAGACTATGCGCCCAAACTCACACCCTACGAGCGCAAGAAACAGTGTTCACTCTGTAATGTTTTGGTAGGATTCTCCTCTTACTAGCCTCTTGAGACAAGAGTGTGTCTCTGCCATTCAAGGCCACCTTAGCTGTTCCCAGAGATTGCCTTTGAGATGAAGATCCCTAGAAGGAAGAGTAGCCTGGCCCTACCATTCCTTCCTTGCAGAGATCCTCTGTGAGACAAGACATTTTTGCAGAGGAGAAGAAACTTCTCACTGCTTTTCCCTGAGCCAGATGTTGGGGCATCCCTTCCCAGTTTGCACCAGATGTGTCAGGTCTTGAGCTTTGCTAATTGGGCTGGGTTGACTGGATATCTATGGAGATTCTCCATCAACCATGGTTTTCCCAAATGCAAGTGGACTTTCTGGTTTTTTTTTTTTCTTTTGAAAACATTTCACTTCTCATCCAAGAAGCTTCCTCCGGTCTGAAGGGTGCACATTGGGAAGGGATGCTTCAACATCTGGCCTGGAGGAAAGACAGTGGAGAATCATCTCCTCTTTGCCAGCCTGCTCCAATTGATCTTGTCCCCTGTAGCAGCTGAACTAGCCAAGATATGTTGGGTGGGCTTTGCCAGGTTTTGGCACAAATGAACTGAGCAAATGTCGCACCCTTTCCAGATTTCCTCGGAGGTGTATCTCTTTAGCCACATTAAGGGGAAAAAGCATCAACACGCCGTGAGGGAGAACAGCAGCATCCAAGGCCGAGAACTTTCCGATGAAGAAGTGGTAAGTCTTTTCTCCTCCCCACCCCCCGCCCAATGTTATTATCCAACAGGAAATGGCTGTTAGGTTGACACAGCCTTGATCCAATTGCTGAAGAATCTGAGGGATTCGTAATCCAGCACAGCGTAGAAGGCAGCAGATTAGATTTGAATTAGACTCATTTGAATCCTCCAATTAATGTATGTAATCCTCCAATTAAGTCTTAATCTCTAACTCAGCGTTTCTCAACCTGGACAACTTTTAAGATGTGTGGACTTCAACTCCCAGAATTCCCCAGCCAGCAATTCTCCCAGAATTGTGGGAGTTGAAGTCCACACATCTTAAAAGTTGTCCAGGTTGAGAAACGCTGGGTTAGAGCTTGGGATTTCATACAACAACATACGTTAATTGGAGGATTTGGAGAGACGTTGCTGGCTATAAGTCTAGATCGCCAGCCAGAAGATTGGAAGCATTTGCGGGAGACAACTTCACTGAGACTGCCTTGTCCTGCTCAGAGCAAGAAGATGGAGCGATACCAATGGGACTTAAACTGGTCAGGAAAACTGGAACTGACTTTTGTGAACTTTTTGGAAATGTGGCTTTTTAGAGGATGCTCCACTCAGCCTCGCTGTTCTTTTTTTGGGATTGGTGTGGCGGATTGTATCAATTCATTCATCAATGGGTGTTTTGGTCAGTGGGTCTTTTGACGCGATCCATTAAGGCTTAGGTATTCCTAAGGAAGTCCTGAAAGAAACTTCTGTTATGGGCCAACTCTTCTTTTCCAACCCTGTGTTCAAGATCCCTCTTTCTTGCCAGACATGTTTAACAGAAACATGTCTTTCTTCAACTCTCGTAAGAGCTCAGTGCCTTTCGGAACGTGCCTCATTTTGTTTGGAGTCTGGAAGTACTCCATGGTTTGTTAATTTGGTTTAATCACTTATGTCAGCCAAGTATTATGATAAATTTTAATATAATTTGCTCTTTCTTGCTATGTACAGCTCTGGGCAAAATTTATATCCCTCTAGAACAGCAACATTTATGCTTTGTGTACTTAGGAGTACAATTTCAAAATACAGGAATGAATAATGTGGCCGAGTCAGCTGAGTTTTACTTCTCTCTGTTTCCCATCTTATTTTTAATCAATGAAGGCACCTCTAGGTGAATGCACTATTCCTACTTAAAGTTATTGCTTTTCACCTCTGATGCCTTCATATTAAATGACCCTTCTTCTCTGATGTATAAGATTTTTATTTATACTACCTCTGACCTAATGAAATTTCACCTTTAGCCCCCTGCACTTGACACTTCAGATAACATACACTTGATCTTTGACACATTTTTGTTTTAAGCCCAGAATGGGTAAGAGCTGCCTGTCACACAGGCGAAATAACTCCTTTGGAGAGGTCAATTCCAGACAGGGTTTCCATTCTGAACCACAAAACTTGTCTTGATCATTCGGAAAATCCTGTTGACAAAGATCACAGTGTAGAATCCAAATTGGTGGGGGGGGGGGCTGGTTATTATTTAAGATTTAATCTTCATTTCGATTCACAGTCTGGGACTGGTAAAAACTTAACAGTTCAAGTCCTAACCAAGGACTTAAGAACTGTTAAGGTAACGTCTGAGTATATTATAGGCAATTCCGAGGAGTAACATGGTTTTCCGCAAAGAATATTCAGGTCTAATAAGTTCAAAATTTCCATGTCTCAATTGGGTATTGTTCCCAAGGGCTCCTTTTACTATTGGTACAACCGCTGATTTCTTCCTCCATCATCATCATTATCATCATCATTATTATTTCTTCCACTATTATTATCATCATCATCATCTTCTTCAATTCAATTCACAGTCTGGGACTGGTAAAAACCTAACAGTTCAAATCCTAACCAAGGACCTAAGAGCTGTTAAGGTAACGTCTGAGTATATAGCCAGTTCTGAGTAAGGTGGGGTTTTTTTTTCAAAGTCAAAATATTCAGGTCTAGTAAGTTTAAAATTTCCATGTTTCTAGACAGCCCTTTGGGTATTGCTGCAAGGGCTCCTATTACTGTTGGTACAAACATTGATTTCTTCCTCCACAATCGCTCAACTTCAATTTGCAAATCACGCTATTTTGTTATTTTTTCTAGCTATTAATATTATTATTATTATTTCTGAAAGGTCAAATTCTGATCATCTCCTAGATTAAAACGAACACATAGATTTAGAGGCAGTCCTTCATTTACAACAGCTCGCTTCGCTTGGTGATTGTTCAAAGTTAAAACGGCACTGAAGGAAGGGACTTAACGATTGTTTTTCACTCTTAGCATGCCCGTGGTCACGTGATCAAAATTCAGACGCTTGGCAACTGGTTCACATTCACGACAGTTGCAGTGTCTTGGGGTCACGTGATCCCCTTTTGCGACTTTGTGTCAAGCAAAGTCAATGGGGAAGCCAGATTCACTTAACAACCAAGTTACTGATTTACTTAACAGCTGTAGCAAGAAAGGTCATAAAATGGGGGCAAAACTCACTTCCCAAATTCCTCAGCCACATAAATTTTGGGCCCCATTGTGGTCGTAAGTTGAGGACCACCTGTAATCCCGCCTTCCTTTTTTTGCTGTCTGGGGAAAAAAATAGACAGGGATCGGTTCCACCCAAGATTAATGCAAAGTGACAGCTTTAGGAACTGGAGAAGCGCTTGGCTGATGGGTACCGAGCATCGCTGGCCGTAAGCCAGCGGCAGCTTGCTGGATGATGGAGGGGCTGTCCACTTAAAGCCAGCATGGCAAACGGCCAAACAATGGCCTTACAACCGTTAGCAGAATAGGGACGGGAGATGGGAGACTTTTTTGGAGCTTCTTCCATTCCTTTCTGGCGCCTAATTCAGGATGTTGGTTGTTCAGATGCAGAATGGGGATGTATTTGAGGACACCCCCCCCCCCTCTCTGCTTGGCTTGGCTGGTTGATAAAGTTTAGCTTAGTGGAGGGGAATTGAATCACCCCTGATGTGCACATTAGAATCTAAGCTTTGATTGCAATAGTACTTAGACTTATATACTGCTTCACATTGCTTTTTCAGCCCTCTCTAAGCGGTTTAACAGAGTCAGCGTATTTTCCCCCAACAATCTGGATCTTCATTTTACCAACCTCAGAAGGATAGAAGGCTGAGTCACTGTTGATCTGGTCAGGATCAAACTCCAGACTGTGGGCAGAGTCAGCCTGCAATGCTGCATTTTAACCACTGGGAAGGAAGAGAGGGAGGGAGGGAGGGAGGGATGGGAGGGAGGAAGGAAGATAAGAAGGAAGGAAGATAAGAAGGAAGGAAGGAAGATAAGAAGGAAGGAAGGAAGGAAGGAAGGAAGGAAGGAAGGAAGGAAGGAAGGAAGGAAGGAAGGAAGGAAAGAAAAAATAACAGTAGCCCTTAAACTTATATACCGCATCATAGTGCTTTTACAGCCCTCTCTAAGCGGTTTACAGAGTCAGCGTATTTGCCCCCAAAAATCTGGGTCCTCATTTTACCAACCTCAGAAGGATGGAAGGCTGAGTCAACCTTGAGCCAGTCAGGATCGAACTCCTGGCTGTGGGCAGAGTTTGCCTACAGTCCTAAATCATCTTTTTCAGTGCCATTGTAACTTCGAATAAACCGTTATAAGTCGAGGATTACCTGTACTGTATCCACGGAGAATACTAGATGCTGCTACCATTTGGATCACATTCGCTCGGAAGCTAATGCCGACTCCGTTGCTTCCCTTGGGCAGTTTAAAGGGACAAACATCATGTGAACAAAAATATATTCTGATGCCGACTAGTTTTTAACACCCCATGGCTGTTTAATAGTCGGCTGCTCCTTTTTAGAGTGCAGAAACAGAAGCAAGAGTGTGGGGTGCCATCTTTTTTGTGTTCCCGTTCTAGGAACACCTGTCCTTAAAGAAGTACATCGTGGATATTGTGGTAGAAAGCGCGGCTCCCGCCGAGCCTGTAAAAGACGGGGAAGACAGGCAGAGGACGAAAAAGAAAGCCAAGAAGCTGAAGGCACGGATGAACTCAAGGTATCGGATTTGGAAACACACATACAAACAGACACAAACACAAACCTATATACATATACAGAAGTGAGGAGAACCTGTGGCCTAGAGGTTAATACAGCTGCCTAACATGCAAGCTGCCCAGGTTCGAATTTCAGAAAGGTATGGCTAGCTGATGAGAGACAAATAGCTTGAAATAGCTGTACTAGTCTTCCTTTAACTCTTTGTCAGCAAAATCTAAATTCACATATACATATATATATTAAAAAAACCTTTGTATATGTGTCTTTTTTTGTAGACACACACACACACAGACACAGATAGATAGATAGATAGATAGATAGATAGATAGATAGATAGATAGATAGATAGATAGATAGATAGATAGATAGTCTTTTGCATGAAAAGGCTTGCATTTATTTATTTTTGCCCTTCAGAAAAGCTGCTGCAAAACTCTTGAGAAAAAAAATGCAAAAAACCTTTTGAAGTTATTTGCTCTAGGAACATCTTGAAAATAGCACTGATGAGTCTAATTTACGGCCACTTTCTCTGATTGAGGAAGAAAACGGCGTATCGATCCAGCCCTGCCTTTCACCTGTTAAGAGCTTTCTTCCTAATTGGACGCCAGAGCCCTGCCAAAACTCTGCCCTCTTCCAGAGCACAAGAGCAGGTTTAAGTAGGTCTAAACCGGGCCTATTTTTCTTCCCGGCTATTGATTTTTAAAATGAAGTATCAAAGAAAATCAATAGTAATCAAGAAATAGAAGCTCGTCGGCCGGAGTGTCAAATCCCCAGGCTGGGTTTAATCAATTTTGTTGCCTGCCACGACGAAGAAAGTTAGAAATATCTTAAAAGGGAAAGTGAGTTGTCAGACCTGCCATTTGTCAACGGACTAAAAAAAAATGGGGCAGTCGTGGATTGTCATAGTTTCAGAGTTTGGAGGATCCCAAAGCAGAACATCCGTGCTTCAGCCTAGACCAGTGGTTCTCAACCTTTCTAATGCCGTGACCCCATAATACAGTTCCCCATGTTGTGGTGACCCCCAACCACTTATACATCACCACGTGCCAGGGGCATGGCCAAGGAAAAGGGGAAAAAATGGTGGACAGCCTTGTTTGGTGACCCCCGTGAAATGGTTGTTCGACCCCAAATGGGGTCCCGACCCACAGGTTGAGAACCACTGGCCTAGACTTTACACCAGCGGTCCCCAACCTTTTGGGCACCAGGAACCGGTTCCATGGAGAGACGTTTTTCCGCAGACCAGAGGGTGTGTGGTTTTGTGTGCTGCCTGCATCCCATGGATGGTGCTTTGCTTGTTTGTGCGGACCGGTTGCTGGCATGCCACGGCCCGGTACAGGTCCACGAACCGGGGATTGTGGACCCCTGCTTTAAACGGTTTCCTAGATTCCTTCCACTTCTTCGAAATCCAGACTCAGCGCTAAAATACCGGCATGGTGAAACTAGAGTCCTGTTGAATCCGCCTTTTGCTTTTTTGGGGTGGGGGTGGGGGTTTAGTTGAAGTTTATTCTACAGGTAGTCCTCAACTTACAACAATTTGTTGAGCGACCGTGTGAAGTTACGACGACGCTGAAAAAAGTGGCTTATGACCGTTTTTCACACTTACGACCGTTGTCACATCCCCATGGTCACGTGATCAAAATTTTGACGCTTGGCGACTGACTCGCATTTATGATGGTTGCAGCGTCCCGGGGGTCACGTGGTCCCCTTTTGTGACCTTCTGATAAGCAAAGTCGATGGGGAAGCCAGGTTCACTTCACAACTATGCTACTAATTTAACAGCTGCAGTGATTCACTTAACAACTGTGGCAAGAAAGCTCGTAAAACAGGGCCAAACTCACTTAACCATTGTTTCACCCAGCAACAGAAACTTGGGGCTCCATCGTGGTTGTGAGTCTATTACTACCTGAAATATAAAATACAAATAGAAACAAAGATAAAAAGGGAATAGGGGAGGAAGAAGAAGTGGAGTGTGAAGTAAAAAGGAAAGGGGGAAAAAAGCAGAGACTTCTAACCATTTTCAGCACAGTCAAATACAAAATACAACCTCAACTTTTTACTTCACACATTTAGTAAGTGCTAGTCATTTCTATAACAAACCGAATTTGAACCTCCAAACCCAATCAATCAATCAATCAATCAATTTCATTGCGGTCACACGCCAGCATTGCAAATAAAAGCATTAAAACAATAATAATAGTAAAAAATAAAAATAGAAGACAAGACCGAAAAATATATTGCAATTGGTGCTGGATTATCACCGGGCATTTAAAGTTTGCCTAATTTTGCACACAACATAACAGAATTTGGCCACATTTTTCAGTACAGTGAAACAGAAAATGCAGTTACAACCTCAACTTTTTATTTCACATATTTAGCAAGTAATAGCCATTTCTATAATAAATGTAAATTAATCATTAAAACCTAAAATCAAAGTTTCCTTTTTCTTTGTTTGTTTCACACATAAAGTCCAGAAGCTGTTTCTAAGTAGAAGCAAAACTGGATGCATTCTTTTTAATTAAAACAGTTATTTTTGTCGTATCTGCCAGCTCTATCAGTTTTTCCATCCGTTCTTCCATTGTGGGAATTAGCGTATTTTTGCATTTTTGCACGTACAGAATTCTCGCCGCAGTCAACATATATAATAACCGAGTTCCAACTTTTTTCCCCCAAGATCTTTCTCTGCTGCTTTTGTGGAGTTTAGCCCTTTTCATTGTACAGCTGTGTATCGAGGTAGCAGATGTTCCCCCTTTTTGAATGGTGTCTTTACGGCATGGACTATTTTGCGTTCAGATTTATTTTCCAGATAGTTTCATGTATTGAGTTGAGTTTTTTTTTCCTCTCCAGCATACTGAACCTGATAAAGCTTTGTTTACCACATTCAGTAGGACTTTGTAATATAAAAGGAAGTGATTCATAGCATAACCCATTTTTTCCCAACCTCAAGTTCTCAACAAATATTGGATTTCAAGTCTTACTACCTCAGGAGAGTGAAGCAGGAGCATCCTGGGGTTTTAAAAAAAAGTGTCCAAAACTTAAAAATGGTTGTGCTTTTTAATAAAATGTGTGAGCTGGAAACTGTGCTAACAACTTCTTCTGGTTTTATGCACTGAAGTTACACCGCCTTCCTCCTACAATGCCTGTCACTCAGTATGATGGGTTAATCAGAACGCTGTTATCAAGAAGGGTATGGAAAACATAAGCCAGCGAGAAAATATCCCCAGGGCATGTATTCAGGGAGATAAATATTTGCCAAACACAGAGAAGTGAACTTCTTGCTGTCTTGAGACAAACTTGAAATTCAACTTTCCTGCTTGTTTGGCTGAGCCCCTCGTGTCTGCTTCAGAATTCTTCCTTTCTCCTCTTAGGAAAAGCCCCTGTCTTTTTATCCCAGCCTTAAAAGCTTTTCGTATCCGGAGCGTCTCCCTGCTTAGATGCCCATGTCAGTCTGTCTGTCTAGCACAGTGGTTCTCAACCTGTGGGTTGGGACCCCATTTGGGGTCGAACGACCATTTCACGGGGGTCGCCAAACAACGCAGTCCGCCATTTTTTCCCCCTTTTCCTTAGCTGTCCCAGTCCCTTTTATTCTATTGGCTTTTGAAAGCCAATAGAATAGACTCTCTTGAATAGAGTCTAATTCTATTGGCTTTCAAAAGCCAATAGGAATTGTCCGGGCTGTCTCTGCCCTGCTGAGCCCGCCAAAAGTCCCATTCTGCAAACGGTGCTGCACCAGTTGAGTAGTCCTTGACTTACGACCGGTTGAGTAGTCCTCGACTTACGACCGGTTGAGTAGTCCTCGACTTAACGACCGGTTGGGGGTCGCGGCATTAAAAAAGTTGAGAACCACTGGTCTAGCACACCCCATCCGTTCAGGGACACTTGACTGTCATTGGAAATGGCCAGCATGAGTACATAAGAGGGGCAATTCGCCGTTCTTTCCCCCCCTCCCCCCCTCCTTCTACAACATCAAAGGAAGAGGACCATCAAACCTGGATAGTTCTTGATTCATGGATTAAAGCCTTACCTACAACTCCTCAGAGTTGGGCCAAGAAGCCTTACAACTTTTGTTTGAAAGGGCTGTTTACCAAGTCAGATGGTCCTCAAGTTACCACTACAAATTGAGCCCCAGATTTCTGTTGATAAGCGAGACGGTTGTTCAAGCGAATCATCTTTCTTGCCACCATTGTTAAAGGAAACCCTGCAGTGGTTAAGTTAGGAGCACGGTCGTTAAGTGAACCTGGCTTCCCCCATTGACTTTGCTTGCCAGAAGGTTGCAAAAGGGGATCACATGACCCCCCCCCCGGGACCCTGCGACTGTCATAAATATGAACTGAGTTGCCCAGCCTCTGAATTTCGATCATGTGACCCTGGGCGTGCTGAACAGCCGTAAGGGTGAAAAACGGTCCTAAGTCCCTTTTTTCAGTGCCTTTGTAACTTCGAACAGTCACTAAATGAACCGTTGTAAGTCAAAAACTATCTGTATTGGAGCCGACAAGTAATTCTGGTGAGCCAATATGCTTTTGCCAGGAAATCTTAGACCTCCAGTAGCTGATGGCCAACCTCCATTGAAGCCAGGGCTGTCCAATTTTGGCAACGTGAAGGCCTTTGGACTTCAACTCCCAGAATTCCCCAGCCAGCCTGAATTAATAATAACAACAACAACAATAATAATAAAGTTGGAAGGGACCTTGGAGGTCATCTAGTCCAACCCCTGCTCAGGCAGGAAACCCTATACCATTTCAGACAAATGGCTGTCCAGTCTCTTCTTAAAAACCTCCAGTGTTGGAGCATTCACTGCTTCTGGAGGCAGATTGTTCCACTGGTTAATTGTTCTCACTGTCAGGAAGTTTCTCCTTAGTTCTAGGTTGCTTCTCTCCTTGGTTAGTTTCCATCCGTTGCTTCTTGTCCTGCCTTCAGGGGCTTTGGAGAATAGCTTGACTCCCTCTTCTTTGGGGCAGCCCCTGAGATACTGGAAGGCTGCTATCATGTCCCCCCTCGTCCTTCTCTTTATTAAACTAGACCTACCCAATTCCAGCAACCATTCCTTGTATGTTTTAGCCTCCAGTCCCCTAATCATCTTTGTTTCTCTTCTCTGCACTCTTTCTAGAGTCTCAACATCTTTTTTACATTGTGGTGACCAAAACTGGATGCCGTATTCCAAATGTGGCCTTACCAAGGCCTTGTAAAGTGGTATTAACACATCACGTGATCTTGATTCTATCCCTCCATCAATGCAGCCTAGAATTGTGTTCGCATTTTTGGCAGATGCAGCACACTTTTGCTAGGCCTGTTAAGGGCTATTTTTCAAGTTGCTGATGGGCTGGTGTATTTTATACCCATTTTGGTTCAAACAAAATTAAGTGCCGTCCAAGGAACAAATTGGCCCTCTCTCAGACAATGTGGCAAGTTGCCAAGATAAATCCATTTTTTTCCCCCATTTGGTTCATGCTCCTAATTCTGGTTTACATTTTCCCAAAGTGAATCAGCCATTCATAGATCGCTTTTCTGTTTGCGGGAAACTTGTATGGTTGCATCATTGGCTGTTACAAACTGTTAATGAGATGCAAATCGTTCACTTGGGGTTTTTTTAAAAGCATTTTTTTTCTCACAATGAGCGAATTGCCATCTGGTATTAGAGTTTACATCCAGTACTGTAATTTACAGTTGTTTATGAATTGATAAATTCGCTAGTCTCTAGAGTGCCCTAAGCTTGTTGTTTTCATATTTAAAATGTTTTAAATCTCTCCAGTAGTACGTATGTCCACTGGGCTTGCTGCAGCTTATAAAATCTTCAAACATTTTGCCATGTGATGAATGAAACTGAAGCAGGATTGGGAGTAGCAAACATGGTTTGGCAGGATAGAATTACTTTCAAATTAACCAAGGTTTTAAAGGAGCCCATTAATTTCTACTAAAAAGAAGAAGATAAAAATGGTAAATTGAACAAAATACTCAGCGCAGAATGTGCTTTATATACATCCTACCATAACTGATGTTTTCCACTGTTTCTTTTCATTTTAGGGCAAAGGAGTACGAAAACGGAATGGAATCAAAAAATGCCTCTTATGAGTCTCCGTACAAAGCAAAGTAAGTCCTTCATCCGGATGGAAGCCTTGTCCATCAGAACAGAATTCTCTTTTGTGTAAGATAGCCTTTCCCATTCTGGTGCCTTTAACTTTTGAGGCCTGCGGCCCCTAGAATTGTAGACATGAACCATTTTGATGAATCGGGGACAGAATTGTGAGAGGCTCCATTTAAAACAGTGGTTCTCAACCTGTGGGTCGGGACCCCATTTGGGGTCGAACGACCATTTCACGGGGGTCGCCAAACAACGCAGTCCGCCATTTTTGCCCCTTTTCCTTAGCTGTGCTACTCCCTTTTATTCTATTGGCTTTTGAAAGCCAATAGAATAGACTCTCTTGAATAGAGTCTAATTCTATTGGCTTTCAAAAGCCAATAGGAATTGTCCAGGCTGTCTCTGCCCTGCTGAGCCCGCCAAAAGTCCCCTTCTGCAAACGGTGCTGCACCAGTTGAGTAGTTCTCGACTTACGACCGGTTGAGTAGTCCTCGACTTACAACCGGTTGGGGGTTGCAGCATTAAAAAGGTTGAGAACCACTGATTTAAAAGCTATATAGAACATAGATTCATAGGAATGGAAGGAGCCTCGGGGGTCTTCTAGTCTAAACCAAGGCAGGAGACCCTCTACCATTTCAAACAAATAGTTGTCCAATCTCTTCTTTAAAAATCTCCACAACTTCAAGAGGCAAGTTGTTCCACTGATTAATTGTTCTCACTGTCGGGAAATTTCTCTATGAGTCAGATCTCCCCTTCATAAGTTTCCATCCATCGCTTCTTGTCCTGTCCTCAGGTGCTTTGGAGAATAAGTCAACCTGTAAGGACCCACCCCACTTTGCATCTTAAGAAGACAGAACTCTTGGAATAATTCTTCCAACAGGAATCCTTTATTAAGAGAGAATGGTTGCAGGCATGCTCGACAGGATTTGGGGTTCAAGCTCTCCCATTCAAGGTTTTAAGGGGTTCCCCAGTAGTCCCACCCAATCAACCCCCCTTCCAGTGATAGTTTCAAGTATCACAATTCCACCCCCTTTCTTCTTTCTTCCGTCTGGATGGAGACTTCAGATAACTACATGAAAGGCAAATACCCTTCTTTGTTATGGTAAGGTCCTCTGGTGCTAACGCTTTGAGGTTACAATAAACACACATTCAGCATTCAGCTCTTTGAAGTGTACTGAAGGAAGTGAGGGCCATAAAGCCCCTTTGTTCTCCCCCTTCTCTCCCTCTTATGGCAGAATCCAAAGAAGGCAGAATTGGGAGTTTCTATATTTGATAATTAAAGATGAAATATGATTGGATTCTGACACAACCCCTCTCTTCTCTGTGATAGCTCCTCTAGTACTGAAAGACAGCTATCGTATCCCCCCCCCCCCCGTCCTTCCTTCTCTTCATTAGGAACTATACATACTTAGTTCCCTCAGCTGGTCATCAAGACAATTTAGGAAGAGCAGATAAATAAACAGGTGACCGGAAGGGAAAGAAATGGAACTGAGCTAATATAATTGTGTATACGTAGTCCTCGGCTTACATTACAGTCGTACGTCATAATCGTCTTAAGTGGGTCATCACATGATGGAGCTAGTTTCATGACTCTTTTGGGGGACAGTTAAGCGAATCAGACATAGCGGTCATAAACTGAATCCTTTGTTCACTATGGGCCAGTTTTGCCCATAAAAATTTCCCCCGCTGGTTTTCCTGGTCTTCCCCTTGTTATCCCTCCATCCTGCATCCATCAGACCTGTTTAATCTCCTTTGGTCCAGCTCTGAAGGTTTTGCTTACTTGTTTTGTTTTGTTGATCTGATAAGAATCCTCTTCCTTTGCCTTTCTTTAAACTTGGGTGTAGAATTCCTTCTTCGATATTTAAAGCTCCCTCTTGTCCCTTAGCGGGCCTGTTTGGCCGCTGTCCTGGGTACACTCCTAATCTGAGTTTCTTGTTAAAAGGGAAGATGGTTTTCTATTTTAGTTTTTGGGGTGGAAAAGGTTTAGGATTTGCTGCAGGCCTTTGGATGGTTTTTTTTTAAAAAAAAGGCAGAAAGAACTTGCAGCCCATTCCTTTGGGGAGAGACGTAATTAGAGAACCGTTGCCAGTAGGATAAGAAGCTAAATTGCCTTTATGGAACAAAACAAGAAAATAAACTTTGCATCTAGCTTTACCATTTCCAGTGTACACAGTGATTGTAGTGCTGATTAAAGGCAATGTTGCAACCAATTGTAAATGTAAATACTCTTACACAGCTTGTTGTTGCCACTATAAATATTGACAAATCTAAAGGTGGGTGTAGCAAAAAGAGAGAGGCTTGCATACCCAGAAGTCATGAGCTGGTATAAAACTGCCCCTTTTAGATGTCAGAAGTAGTTTATGCTGGGTGGTTTTGCCCATCTGACTAGAAATTTGCTGAAGAAAAATGGAACCAGGTCTTTAGCTGTCCTTCCATTGGTGCCCTCTTACCCCCAGAACAGGAATATGCCCCTCTCACTGGCAATTACCCACATCCAACTGAAGTATAATTCCTAGAGCATCCGTAATCATGGAAGAGAGGGTCATCTTCCACCCAACTCTCTTTTCTTCCTCCAGCTTGACTTCTTAGAGGTAGACTAGAACATCATTGGAAGTCTCTTTCAGATCTCATGGTGGAAGTGTCACTGGTGGCTTCTTCCAGATCTGAAGGTGGAAACGTCACTGGTGGCTTTTTCCAGATCTGAAGGTGGAAACGTCACTGGTGGCTTCTTCCAGATCTGAAGATGGAAACGTCACTAGTGGCTTCTTCCAAATCTGAAGATGGAAACGTCACTGGTGGCTTCTTCCAGATCTGAAGATGGAAACGTCACTGGTGGCTTCTTCCAGATCTGAAGATGGAAATGTCACTAGTGGCTTCTTCCAAATCTGAAGGTGGAAACGTCACTGGTGGCTTTTTCCAGATCTGAAGGTGGAAACGTCACTGGTGGCTTCTTCCAAATCTGAAGGTGGAAACATCTTTGTATAACCTTTGGAGGTTATGGCTTCTTCAGTGGTGCAGTTTCACTCTCAATTTCTTTTACAATTTGGCATCTACCTGCATTTCCAAATTACGGAAAGAAGTGGAAAACCTTATAGCACATCCTGGAAGTCTCATTTTGGTTTCAACTTTGGAGGGGGGGGGGAAATCCTTCTAAAATAAAAAAAGATTTAATTTTTTTTAAAAAAAAACAACTCCATTGCCATCAATCAGATGGCAAGGTAGCATATCCATCAAATAAATACACACAAAATAAACTTCTCCCACATCCTGAAACTTGACAGAGGTTCTGGGTTCCCATCAATTGTCACCAAAGAAGAGACTGGAAGCAGGAAATAAGATTCGCTTCTCTGAGCCAACAAACAGCTCAGTCCAAAGTTCACCTCAATCTGGGCCAAGAATTTAAGCAATATGGTCAGAAGTGAAGTAATCAAAAGGAAAGGTAATTTTATATTCTGTACCGAGCCAGGAAAAGGAGGAAGAAGACGGTTTTACGATGAGTCTTAAAAAGAAATGTATGAGAGGAAAATGTAAAAACACAGAATTCCATTTGACTTGATTAGAACTGGAAATACGTTTCTAAAGCCAGAACGTACAGTTGTCTCTTGAAAACTAAACGATCTGCCTTACGATATGCTTGCTAGTGACAGGAAGGTATGTGTTCTTTAAAAAAAAAAAAAACAACCCTCAGTTTTTGAATAAAACCATTTTAGAAAATAAACATTGCTTCTAAGCCAGTTTGTAGTTGTTATGATAGGAGTTGTGGTCCTAAATGCATTAAAACCATTTCCCCCGTTCTGTAGCTCTCTTGGGGTTACAATATCTTGAATTCCTAGTTAACGTGGAGGAAACTAGCAACTTTAAAAAAAAATGCAGCTTATTGCTGTTAACTTGCTCTCTTTGTTTTCGTACAGTTTCCTTCAGAGCAGCTACTATTTATTCTATATTATTTCTATTATTTCCTGGTGTGCTCTCACGTTTTCGAAATTGCCCCTTTGAAGTGGATGCATCGTTTGAAAAATGCTTTTTTTTGTTTTGCGAAATCAGTGCTAACAAATTCAATGACAAATTCTTATTTTATTTTTTTACTACGCCCAACCATCCTACAAGCCAAGAAAAGAAGTAGCACGTTGCCTTTTACTAAAATAGAGTAACTCACCACACTGGCTTGTGAAACTCGGCTTTGCTCAAGGACCGAAAGCGTTTCCCTGGCCCCCGAATGCCATCGCACTAGGACTCTGGAGCACCCCTGCCTTGCGCAGAATTGAAACTAGTGGGAGGTTGAAGTTCTTGCATGCGGTGATGAAAAGTTTTCATGGGATCTTCTGAGATTTGGGGGGATTATCCCTCAAAGATTTTTTAGCTCCGTGGTGGCGAACCTATGGCACGCGTGCCATAGATGGCACTCAGAGCCCTCTCTGTGGGCACGCGCACCGTCGCCCCAGTCCTAGGCCTTCAGCTGAGTTTTATAAAACCTTTTTGCTTTAGGTCTCCGCCGCTGTGTACAAAAAAAAAGGTTCAATCAATCAATCAATTTCAACTTCTTGCAGGAAAAAAAAGATCTCGCAAAGTTGGATTGATTGATTGAACTTTTTAGTCCTATCCAGTCTGCCGTTACCACCGAAGCCACACCCACCCAATGGGCCACACCCACCCAATGGGCCATGCCTACCCGGCACCCGACGATACATAAGTGGGTTTTGGGTTGCAGTTTGGGCACTCGGCCTCTAAAAGGTTCGCCATCACTGCCTTAGCTACTGCCCAATTTGCAGTTTTATTTATGCAATTGTTTAATTTATACAACCGCCCAACTCACACATAATGTGATTCCAGGTACCTTAAAAAAAATAAAATTAAAAATCCACCATATCATAAAAACCCATCCTAAAAACCCACCACCCGTGGTAACAACGACACAATCAAATCAGCCATTTGGTCCGTCCCCATTCATGTTCCCCAGGTCCACTGACAAAACCACATTTTTAGGGCTAGGGGGATCCTCCATCATCCAGGTCAGGGTTGTCCCAAAGGAGCTTTTTCAGGAGGCAACCGGACTTCCTTTGTTTTTTCTTTGAAGACGTTTCGCTTCTCCTCCAAGAAGCTTCTTCGGCTCTGACTGGATGGTGGGGAATGCAGCTAGTCAGAGCCGAAGAAGTTTCTTGGAGGAGAAGCGAAACGTCTTCAAAGAAAAACAAAGAAAGTCCAGTTGCCTCCTGAAAAAGCACCTTTGGGACACGTTTTTAGGGCCTTTCAGAAAAGCAACAGGGTGGAAGCCAATCCTGCCTTGGAAGGAAAGCTGTTCCATAAAGAAGGGGCCACCACGGAGAAGGCCCTTTTTTTGTGACAAGTTTTGGGATTTCCAGCAGGAATTTTTCAATGCTTGAAAATAACTTATGGCAAGGCTGATTTCCCCCACCCCCACCCCAGATTCTGTCCTTCCAGAATCCTTCCAGATTCTGTCTGGTAGTGGCTGATCTAATACCTGTCTGGCTTTCCTCTTTCCTGTTTTGAGGGTTTTTTTATATATATATAATAATTTTTTATTTTTCCAAACTCTCCCCCATACATATACCGTGATCTTTATCAGATGTTAACATACATTCTTTTTACATTCATATATAAGATACTTTTAATAAAATGAAATAAATATATACACATGACTTTTGGTGTTGCTCGCCCATTTCCCCTTTCACCGTATCCACACTCCTTCTTCTCTACCTTCTTTCTCCCTTTCTTCTCTTCTCTACTTCCCTCTTCTTCCTCTCCCCTTCTCTTTCCTTCCCCACTCTCCTCCCCTTTCTCCCCACTTCTCCTCTTCTCCTCCAACCTTCCTACTTCCTTCTCCCCTCCTTTACTCTTTTCTCTCTCCTCTCCTTTCTTCTGAGGGTTAATGTTAAAAGTGCTCAGGAATATTATAGAGTCTGAAGACCCCTGCAGAGAGTCAGTTGTGCCCATCCTCTCCCGTGCCCATTTACCTAGGTCAGGGGTAGACAACCTTGGCTCTTTTATGACTTGTGGACTTCAATTCCCAGAATTCCTGAGCCAGCATAGCTGGGAGTTGAAGTCCACGAGTCATAAAAGAGCCAAGGTTGCCTAGCCCTGACCTAGGAAAAGTCCCACGGTGTGCCCAGGACATGATACTGATTGTCTCTTTCAATCATCATGCAGTGAAGATGGTCTCAACTGAAGTATTACTGGGATGTAACTTTCCCAGTTCTGAATGCTATTTCCTCCTCTTCCCCCCCCCCTCCTTTTTTTCTCTTTTTTTCTTTCGGTAATACGAAAGGCTACAACGACTGGTGAAAGATTTGCAGAAGCAGCTTCAGATTCAAGATGGTACCAAAATCTCCGCTCTGGATAGGATTTTGGGAGAGATTTCTCGGATCCTGGAAAAAGAGGTAAGGTCACTTTTACTGCTCAATGCCAAATTAGGTCATATCCTTTGATGCGGGTGTAATTCCCGATTCCTTCTGTATATACAATCTTGGCTCAAGATTGATAAATCTTTTGAGTTTCTTAGTCTTCATGGTGACTTGGTTCAAGGCCATAAACCATAGTTTGCAAGCCACAGTGGCTGGATTTCCACTTTGCCATAAGCCACAAATAAGGCAACATTCAGGAGAAGCATAGTCAAATTCTGAATATTTCTTCTTATGCTGAAGATATTTGAAATTGTGGGGTTAATGAACGGAAATGATTAAAAAGCTAAACTAGGCTGATGTGCCATTTTGTACTTCTTTCCCAATGTTGCTTTAAAATACTCTTGACTATAAATGTAGGGAAAATGCTGTTTGTACCCAGTTGATGTTAATTAGATTAATGTGATAAAATTAATTTTTCCTTTAAATGCATTGCTCTTTTATTTCTTTCACAAATTTAACACGCTATAGCTGTTTCTGATGTTTTCATCATTAGATCAACACTGCAAACTCCCAGATAGGGAGATGAACGGTATTTTATTCCATTTCGCCCCCTAATAATTAAATTAATTGCCTTTCCAAAATCAGTACATCAAGCTCTGAACAGCATTTGCTGAGTCTGACACCTAAATGCCAGAATTTTACATATTCCATATATTCTCTATCAGCTTTTCAATTTTATTGCCTGTATTTTCTGATTTTTATTTTACATCTGAGAGAGAGTTCTTTATCTTTTTCCACAGTAAGGTTTTTTTTTTTTATGAAATTGCATTAAAGCAAATTACTAGCAGGCTAAAACTGATGAACCAGTAAAAGGCTGGTTCTATCGCATGGCATAAAATGTGCGGTACAATTACGTTTCAACGGAGATCTAATTTTTAAGACGGCCAGCACTTTTCTCTAAAAATGTCCTTCTGAAATGGTCCTATAAGCAAGATCATTACCAGTCTGAAATCATCATTGGAATGAGGATTTTGCTTAATTAAAATCGCAGTCCAGGAGGCGCAGCCCTTCATCACTTTCACAATGATGGATTGAGGAGGAAGCTTTCCTATTCACTTTGGAAAGAGAAGGAATCGTCCTGGAGAACATATCCCCTGCAACCTTTTTCCATCCAATTTTAATTTATTGCCCCTAAAGCAGAGGTTCTCAACCTTTTTAATGCCGCGACCCCCAACCGGTCGTAAGTTGAAGACTACTCAACCGGTCGTAAGTCGAGGACTACTCAACTGGTGCAGCACCGTTTGCAGAATGGGACTTTTGGCGGGCTCAGCAGGGCAGAGACAGCCTGGACAATTCCTATTGGCTTTTGAAAGCCAATAGAATTAGACTCTATTCAAGAGAGTCTATTCTATTGGCTTTCAAAAGCCAATAGAATAAAAGGGAGTAGCACAGCTAAGGAAAAGGGGGGGGAAATGGCGGACTGTGTTGTTTGGCGACCCCCGTGAAATGGTCGTTTGACCCCAAATGGGGTCCCGACCCACAGGTGGAGAACCACTGCCCTAAAGTCTTTGCGATCTTTCACAACACTGTTGTGAGAATCCTTAACACCTTAAAACAAAACCGCTGTCCTCTCCTCCCCCCCCCCCATTAAAACCAGCTTCACGTTGGTTGACTTGAACAGTTCCTCTGTCTATTGATTGAAAAATGAATTTTTAAAAAATGGGTTTTGAGTATCAGGAGAATAAGATCAACTTTGTGCAGCTTATCAGCCACTTTTCCTGACATGTGTGTGCCATTACGGCAAGTAAACAGAATTTAAACAAGATAGATTTGAGCAGGAATTCCTCTGCCCCCCCCTCTAATTACGGAGCCTCTTTTAAAAAAAATATCCAGCCAGGCTGCTGCAGGATGTCACACACACAACTCCTCCTAAGTGAGTTCAAATCTGCCAAAGTTTATAAGCCGGTGGACGTTAGGAGGCGAAACGCTTCCTGACCCGTGCCGCCGAGTGCAATGTGGTCCAATATCAGATTCTGGCAAAGCCGCCCTCCGTTTGGGTTCATTGAAATGCGAATACCACCAAGCGGTGGAAGAAAAATAAACAGGCTGCGTCGTCGGAACAATCTGGCTGAAAGACTCGGGCTAGGCGACATCCGTCCGAAGGTCCTCCTGCCCGGTTTTTCTCCGCAAAAGGAGGCCTTGATGCAGCTCATTGGGAGATCTCTGGGGGAGAGGAACGGGTTTGGAGTTGAATCATGCAGGGGTATGGGTGTCCCGGTCAGATTGACTTGATAGCCCACCTGTGGCTTCCTACACGAGGTTAAAGCCAACTTCTATGGAGGAGGGAGAGGAAGGAGGAGGAGGAGGAGAAGGGAGGAGGAGGAAAGAAGAAGAGGAGGAAAGAAGAGAAGGAAGTAGAAGGAGGAGGAGGAGGAGAAGAGGAAGAGGAGGAAAGAAGAAGAAGGAGGAGGAGGAAAGAAGAGGAAGAAGAGGAAAGAAGAAGAGAAGGAAGGAGGAGGAGGAGGAGAAGAAGGGAAGAGGCGGAGGAGGAAGAGCAGGATGAGGAAAAAAGAAGAGGGAGGAGGAGGAAAAAAGAAGAGGAAGAAAGAAGAGCAGGAGGAGGAAAGAAGAGAGGAGGAGGAGGAGGAAAGAAGAGGAAGAGGAAACAAGAGAAGGAAGTGGAAGGAGGAGGAGAAGAAGGGGGAGGAGGAACAGCAGGAGGAGGAAAGAAGAGGAAGAGGGAGGAGGAAGAAAGAAGAGGAAGTGGAAGAAGGAGAAGAAAGTAGGAGGAGGAGGAGGAAGAGGAGGAAAGAGGAAGAAAGAAGAGGGAGGAGGAGGAAAGAAGAAGAGGAGAAGGAAGTGGAAGGAGGAGGAGGAGGAGGAGGAAGAATTCCCCATCTTGATTTGAACAAACCATCTTCCCCACGGAATCTCATGCAAGAAACTGGCTTTAAAAATATTGTTTCCCTTCTTCTGAATGTTCTCTTCATTTTTTTTTATCATTAATGAAGTTTCTTTTCATTCTCCATAATCCTTGAAATATTTTTACGCCATCTGCCCAAAGTAGCCAGTGGAATAAAACGGTTTAAAGTGGATTAAATTATATCGCCGGTTAAAAACCTACCATTTGGTTTCAACCGGGAAGAGGGTTTTTTTTTTTTTTTGGTTTTTTTGTTTTTTTAAAAAAAGCAAACGAAACCCAAATTTTATGCAGCTTGCAACACTTCTGTAACTCAAAGGTTTATTGTGATAGAGCTGACCCTGTAATAGGACCATGGCTTTAGTATAAATAATTTAAATCGTATACAGAAGACAAACTGTTCTTTAAGCCTCGGGGTGGATTAGGATAAGCAAACATATGTACAATATTACAAATATCTGTTCTTAATTGGCCCCTGTAAGCCGAGGGTGTGTATATATTTTAACAGGAAAACATAGATTCTTGTTACTAGCATTGATATCCATCAGCTAATAGAAAAATAGATATGGATTTTCCCAGGCATTGCTATAAACATGAACTTTAAATGTTTTTTAAAACAAGCCTGTGGTTTAATCAAACCTGTATTTTCTCCCTTATCACTGGTAGATATCTGTCTTTTAGTCGTACAGTTGGAAGTAGCATAGATTGTATTTCTGATTCTTTCTGTAATTACACCATTGCTAATTGTGTCGTAATACAGTAACCTAAACAAACGTTTATTGAATTTTCTTCGCAAATTCGCCACAAGTGGTACTATTACAGGGAGACATTAGGTAGTGAATGCAGAGAGCAAAAAACATCAGTGAATAATCCTATTGACCTTCTTTTGAAAAAACAAAACAAAATTACAGCCTATTTTTTCCAATCTAAATAGACTGAATAAATTAACAACTTGGGACCAGGAAAAAAAAAATCAATCGGGTGTTACATACAGTAAAAAAATTAATAAATCACAAGCTCAAAAGGAAAATTCTTCTATCCAGTGACAAAAATAAATCTCACCAAAGTTTTAATCCGTTGCAATAAGTAAATACAAAAATACTGGGAACAAAATATCTTTCCGAAAATAACCCCCTCCCCAGCCCACGAAACTCTTCCATCCATTTGATAAGCTGCAGCTGCCTTGTGTCACAGCTCCCATCATGTCCCAGCTCTGACCAGAAAGATGGGATGTGTAGTCCAACACATGGCTCGGTGGACTCTGAATTCTTTGGTCAAGAAGGCTGGATGAATGGCGTCACTGAAGGCCAAAATGAAGCGCTCTCAATAACCGCATCCTATAACTCTAGGTTTGATAGGATAACGTTTTTCTTTGTGTGTACTTGGCCGTAGGCAGTGTTTCTCAACCGTGACCATTTTAAGGCCTGTGGACTTCAACTCCCAGAATTCCACAGCCAGCAAGGTGGCGCAGCAGTTAGAGCGCAAGTACTGCAGGCCACTTTAGCTGACTGTGTTCAGCAGGTCAGCGGTTCAAATCTCACCGGCTCAAGGTTGACTCAGCCTTCCCTCCTTCTGGGGTAGGTAAAATGAGGACCCAGATGGTTGGGGGCAATGTAAATATATATATATATATACATTGCTTACTGGTGTACCCCGCTTAGAGAGTGCTTGCACTTAAAGCGGTATATAAGTCTCATAAATTAAATAAATAAATAAATAAAATAAACACAGCCGTAGAGAGACGTCCTGCAAAAACTTGGGAGGTCCCTGGGCTACGTTGACCTAACAGTCTTCTCCAGGCTAGTTCTTGTCTCACCAGTTTCATTCCTACCAGGTTGGGGGAAACTGGCGCTGGATTAAGTTTCAGTGGGTCTTTAAACAGGGTGTTGTGGGAGCTGAAGTCCACCCATCTTGGGCGACCTTGGCTGAAGTTGAGAAACACTGAACTAAATCAACCAGAGAAGCTGCTTTCTTCGTTTTGTATGATGCATGACAGAGATGTCCGGTTTGCTTCTTCCAAATAGGAAGCCCCGAACAAGCTAGGTTTCTCTTTCGTGGAAGCTTGGAATGTCTTCCGTTGTGTCTTCGCATGATTCCAGGTCTTTCTCCCCAAAGA